CTTGCCCGACAAGTGAGGAACAAAGTAACCCCGGATTGAGGCCAAGCCACGGGAAATGGCTACTGGTTTAGAGCTCTGCAAGGGCCAATGAGGAAAGGCAGAACTGCTTTTGCACTGAAGTGGCGCTGGCAGAGCTCCAAACCAGTAGCAGCCATCCATGTCCAAAGTAACCCCGAACAAGCCTTTTCCCGTGGCTTGGCCTCAATCCGGGGTTACTTTGTTCCTCACTTGTCGGGCAAGATCGAGGAATGGCAGAACTGCTTTTGCAATGAAGTGGGCCTTGCAGAGCTCCAAACCAGTAGCAGCCATCCATGTCTAAAGCAACCCCGAACAAGCCTTTTTTGGTGACTTGGCTTCAATCCGGGGTTAGTTTGTTTCTCACTTGTCGGGCAAGGTCGAGGAATGGCAGAACTGCTGTTGCAATGCCCTTGCAGAGCTCCAAACCAGTAGCAGCCACCAATGTCCAAAGTAGCCCCGAACAAGCACAATGTCCAAAGTAACCCCGAACAAGCCCTTTCCCGCGACTTGGCCCCAATCCGGGGTTACTTTCTTCCTCACTTGTCGGGCAAGGTCGAGGAAAGGCGGAACTGCTTTTGCAATGAAGTGGCCCTTGCAGAGCTCTAAACCAGTAGCCCTTTCCCGTGGCTTGGCCTCAATCCGGGGTTACTTTGTTCCTCACTTGTTGGGCAAGGTCGAGGAATGGCAGAACTGCTGTTGCAATGAAGTGGCCCTTGCAGAGCTCCAAATCGGTAGCAGCCACCACCAATGGCAAAAGTAGCCCCGAACAAGCAGACGTTGCCCCAATCCGGGGATACTTTGTTCCTTACTTGTCGGGCAAGGTCAAGGAAAGGCAGAACTGCTTTTGCAATCAAGTGGCGCTTGCAGAGCTCCAAGCCAGTAGCAGCCACCAATGTCCAAAGTAACCCCGAACAAGCCTTTTCCCGTGACTTGGCTTCAATCCGGGGTTACTTTGTTCCTCACTTGTCGGGCAAAGGCAGAACTGCTTTTGCACTGAAGTGGCGCTTGATTCCTTCCAAACCAAGTAAGGCAAGAGGAGGGTTTCTCTCGTGTAATTGGTAGGGGGTGCTTTTTCAGACTTAGCCTCGAAAAAAAAATCCGGGGTTACTTGGTTTTCCTCACGTGTACGGGCAAGATCGAGGAAGGGGGCAGAAAACTGCTGTTGGCAATGAAAGTGCCCTTGCAGACCTCCAAACCAGTTGCAGCCCATCCAGTCTAAAGCAACCCCCCCGAACAAGCCTTTTTTGGTGACTTGGCTTCAATCCGGGGTTACTTTGTTCCTCACTTGTCGGGCAAGGTCGAGGAATGGCAGAACTGCTGTTGCAATGCCCTTGCAGAGCTCCAAACCAGTAGCAGCCACCAATGTCCAAAGTAGCCCCGAACGAGCACAATGTCCAAAGTAACCCCGAACAAGCCCTTTCCCGTGACTTGGCCCCAATCCGGGGTTACTTTCTTCCTCACTTGTCGGGCAAGGTCGAGGAAAGGCGGAACTGCTTTTGCAATGAAGTGGCCCTTGCAGAGCTCTAAGCCAGTAGCCCTTTCCCGTGACTTGGCCCCAATCCGGGGTTACTTTCTTCCTCACTTGTCGGGCAAGGTCGAGGAATGGCAGAACTGCTGTTGCAATGAAGTGGCCCTTGCAGAGCTGTTCCGATTCAGTAGCTGCCAACCACCAATTGGTCAAAAGAGCCCCGAACAAGCAGACTTTGGCCCCAATCCGGGATACTTTGTGTCCTTACTGTCGGCAAGGTCAAGGAAAGCGAAACTGGCGTTTGCCAGGGAGTGGCGCTTGCAAGAGGCTGCCAAGCCAAGTAGCAGACACCAATGGTACCAAAGTAACCCCGAACAAGCCCTTTCCCGTGACTTGGCCCCAATCCGGGGTTACTTTCTTCCTTACTTGTCGTGCAAGGTCAAGGAAAGGCAGAACTGCTTTTGCAATGAAGTGGCCCTTGCAGAGCTCCAAACCAGTAGCAGCCATCCATGTCCAAAGTAACCCCGAACAAGCCCTTTCCCGTGACTTGGCCCCTATCCGGGGTTACTGCCTTCCTTACTTGTCGGGCAACAGTCGAGGAATGAGTTTCTGAAGGTAAACCGCGTGGGTCTACTGTGAAACGCCAAAACGCAGTAGCAGCCATCCATGTCCAAAGTAACCCCGAACAAGCCTTTTCCGGTGACTTGGCTTCAATCCGGGGTTACTTTGTTCCTCACTTGTCGGGCAAGGTCGAGGAATGGCAGAACTGCTGTTGCAATGAAGTGGCCCTTGCAGAGCTGCAAACCAGTAGCAGCCACCAATGTCCAAAGTAGCCCCGAACAAGCCCTTTCCCGTGACTTGGCCCCAATCCGGGGTTACTTTGTTCCTCACTAAGACTTGTCGGGCAAGGTCGAGGAATGGCAGAACTGCTGTTGCAATGAAGTGGCCCTTGCAGAGCTCCAAATCAGTAGCAGCCACCACCAATGTCAAAAGTAGCCCCGAACAGGCAGACTTTGCCCCAATCCGGGGATACTTTGTTCCTTACTTGTCGGGCAAGGTCAAGGAAAGGCAGAACTGCTTTTGCAGTGAAGTGGCCCTTGCAGAGCTCCAAACCAGTAGCAGCCATCCACGACCAAAGTAACCCCGAACAAGTTCTTTCCCGTGACTTGGCCCCAATCCGGGGTTACTTTGTTCCTTACTTGTCAAGCAAGTCTGAGTCAAGGCAGAACTGCTTTTGCAGTGAAGTGGCCCTTGCAGAGCTCCAAGCCAGTAGCAGCCATCCACGACCAAAGTAACCCCGAACAAGTTCTTTCCCGTGACTTGGCCCCAATCCGGGGCTACTTTGTTCCTTACTTGTCAAGCAAGTCTGAGTCAAGGCAGAACTGCTTTTGCACTGAAGTGGCCCTTGCAGAGCTCCAAACCAGTAGCAGCCATCCACGACCAAAGTAACCCCGAACAAGTTCTTTCCCGTGACTTGGCCCCAATCCGGGGTTACTTTGTTCCTTACTTGTCAAGCAAGTCTGAGTCAAGGCAGAACTGCTTTTGCAGTGAAGTGGCCCTTGCAGAGCTCCAAACCAGTAGCAGCCATCCACGACCAAAGTAACCCCGAACAAGTTCTTTCCCGTGACTTGGCCCCAATCCGGGGTTACTTTGTTCCTTACTTGTCAAGCAAGTCTAAGTCAAGGCAGAACTGCTTTTGCAGTGAAGTGGCCCTTGCAGAGCTCCAAACCAGTAGCAGCCATCCACGACCAAAGTAACCCCGAACAAGTTCTTTCCCGTGACTTGGCCCCAATCCGGGGTTACTTTGTTCCTTACTTGTCAAGCAAAGCAAGTCTGAGTCAAGGCAGAACTGCTTTTGCAGTGAAGTGGCCCTTGCAGAGGTTCAAACCAGTAGCAGCAATCCGCAGCCACTTTTTGGAAAAGTAGCCCCGAGCGGTTACTCTGAACGGGTGTTGACTGGGCATATTGCTTTTGAGCGGAAGAGGGTTCGGTTGCATTGATTTTGAATAGCCTTGCCTGGGGCGTGGAATGGTAAGAAGCCGCGCGGATTACGGATTAGGGGGTTTACCCGTTGAAACGCGGATTAAGCGGATTACGGATTGTGATTAGGCCCCCCGGGATTTCGAACAGGCTAGATTTCCCACGAAAAGCAGGAGACTCCACCAAAAAAGAAAGCCACAATTCGGGGCTCTCAAAAATGATCCCCTTAGTTGAGTATGCGTCAAAGTAGGGCGACCCAAAACGTCGAGCTGTTCCTGTACCCTCAAAGACACACACACACAGACACACATGCACGCCCACACGCACGCGTGCGTACACGCGCACGGACACGCACACGCACACGCACACGTTCACACACACACACACACATTGTTGAATTTAAGTACAAGGGAAACGGACTAAATGGACTAGAACAAAGGGACTAAATAGGGACGTTGCTTAGTTTGCGGCGCCGTGACCTTGTTGTTGGTTCAGATCGGGGGATTAAGGATTCCCTACATTTGCTTGCTGGGTTTGCGGGAGCAACATTAGCCGGACATTGCCATTTACCACCAATCAAATAAGCAGGTGGGAGGCTTGCACAGGGAATATAGTTGGTCATAAGTCATAAGCCCAGATTTCAATGTCACACCTGCTGAGTCAGCTAAGAAACTGTCGCTCAGATAAAACCTAGAGGTAAAGACATGGTTATGCATGTGCATAGTGAACCACCTCAAACTAGCTGTCGGACGGAGACCTGAACCCCCACTAATTCTGATGTCCACCATGTCGGGTCCCTAATGACAAAATCATGCCCAGGTGGGCTACTTCAGTAGCTAAGTCTAGAACGGATTCCATGAGTTGGGATCCATCGAAGGAAATGCGGCGCTGGTTTTTGGTGCCGCGGTCAAAATACCCCGAAGAGAGTGGGATGAGCGGGTCCCCACCACAACGAGATCAGGATATTCTGGTGCACAACAAGATGACACGAGATCCAAGGCATTCTCATTGCAGCGGCTCAGATCCAAGGTTCCCCCGCTTTTGTTCCTACGACAGAGTGGCAGGTTCTTGCAAGACTAAAGTGATCCAGTCCAACTGATGCTTTATGGGTACGGAATCAAGCAGCATCCTCACTTGCAATTGTGTGATTTGTCTTTTGCCAAGCGTGGCGCGTGAGGAAGTAGCTGTAGCTTTCGTATCAGGAGAGATAACATCAAAGCCTCCTACCCCCCACAAAGGTTCGGAATCCCTTCCAAGAAGGTGCTAAGACCTTTCTTTCTAAAAAGCTTGCTTGTGAGTTGCATTTGCTTGCTTTTTGAAGAGGCTAACACCACGTTTGGAGTCAATCTGACTCCAAAGCAAGAGTACGCACATTGTCATTCGGAAGCCAGCTTTCTTTTTTCCCTTTTCTTTTTTTGTGGTGGCTGTTTCAGGCAAGCGGTCATGACTTTTTTAATGCTAGATGTCTTGGCAGTGCTTCCAGCGAATGGAATGCACCTGCGCAAATAATTCCGACATCACAGGGCGGTTTGCCATGATCAAGGTTCCTTATCTGGGGAACCCTTATTTCAGTGACTCATGCTGGGTGCTAGTATTCCCCCAAAAGGAAGCTGACAGGGCATGGGTGATTGGTTTGATGTGTCCATTGAACAAAACAAGCTCTATGTCTTTTAGAGCCTAAGACCTCACAAATCTTCTGCCCCTAGTCATAGCAAGTTTCCCAAGAAGTTAGGTGGCGTGTGTTTGTCAACCGCATTTTGTTGGATATGTACTCTATTAAAAACATCAAATTACATTCAAGGTTTGTGAGGCATAGCAATTTGCCCAGATAGTCCCTTGCAATTTGCAGCAAAAAGGGTTCCCTCGTTCTACCGTCACTTGCATAGGGGGTGTTTCAGCTGAATGCTTTATATGAACGCGGGCGGCCTTGTTTACTCCTGCAAACAAGGTGACATGAGTCACACTTACCAAATTACCACTAGATGGGTGAAAACAACTCCAATGTCATATGCCCACATTCTGTCTCAGGGAACCATTTCAACATGTTGACCTTTTGGTTCGCTCTTGGTTTCCAAGGAGTTCCCACGAGCCTTTTGCCCTGGTCAGGACTTCTTCCTCGACCTCTTCGATGGGAATCTGACCGCCTTTGCTTCTGCGACCTTAGTGATCCTGGGGAATCAGGACGGACGCGACTTGTCGAAGCGACTTCTTCGCGCCAAGGCGCTTGAAGCGTGGCAACCTGGAAAGGGTGCCCTATGTTTCTCCTGGTGATGTTTTAAACACCTTTTGCTTGCCAGTTTAAGGTATGCTCCACTTGGGGTGATGTTTCAACGGTAGATGTATAGGACATGCAAGTATCATCGTGCGTGTTTCCTTTTCCGTTCTCTGCAGCCATGGTCCTTTTCCAAAAGTCGGATCCCCGGATGCCGAATGGTGAAGATACCCGAAACTGCGAGCTAAAAGCTGAAAGCGCCATAAAATTGCTATCTCGGGGTTCTTTCGGGTGTCTTTTTGGATAGTAACCTTTCGGTTGTTTCGGTGGGAGATTGACAGCACACCACGCATTTTAAAGTTTTGCAAGAGCTCTGTTGTCTTCCCTTTCCAGGGTCTTGAGCCCTGGCACCGGGGTGGGTTGGGTTTCCTGGGGAAGATCAGGCGATCCAACCAGAGGGCCACTTTTCGACCCTCCGGCCCCTTTTGCAAGTGCTTGATGCTTTGCGGTGCAACAAGTCCCAACCTCGGTACTTCCTTGTACTTTCCCCCCCAAAAAAAACGAGAAAAAAGAAGAAGAAGAAGCGGAGATTGGACCAAATCCCGCGACTCCGTCAATGTTTCGGACCCTGCTAATTCACAGGGGAGGGTTTGTTGGGCATCCCCCAAAAGCAGATGATCCCATCTTGGGAGTTGGCGTGAAAAGCCAACCCAGAGATTGCCCACTGGTTTGGGAATGGGTTGCAAAATACACCCGCCAGTCGCCAGTCCGGGACAGGACCCAGGCTTCCTGAAGTTTGAGAAGGAGCAGATGGAGTGCAAGGAAGAGCTGAAGGAGCTCCTCTCCCGATTTCCTCTCTTTGCCTATCTGCCTCGGCTCGAAACAGGGGACCTTTGGGAAACCAACGGCTTGTGCCGAATCTGTAAACGGGCCCCCTTTAAATACCTTTGGGATACAAATGTCTCTTGTATGAAACCTACAAAAGGAGTCTAACGACCATTTTGCTCAGGTCGGCTTGCAGCAACCCAGTCCCTCTCTGCGGGGTTCCCGATTTTTCAAATGGAACCAAGCCCGAAAAGGCCACGGTTCCATGAAATCTACTTACTTTCTACGCTCAGGGAAATTTGTGCACCTCAAATGAATGGCGTCCAACGGCCCCGTTCAGCGCTCCCACCCCCCTCCTCGTTCATTTCCCTTTTTGGCTTTAAACATCACCTTTTTGGGCCATGAAAGGTGAGGATCCCTTGGTGGGAGTGATGTTTTCAGGGGAACTATAGGGAGCCCTCGCTTTCGCTTCGTCAGGAGGTAGTGCGCCAGATCTCGGTGATGCGCCGGGATGGAGCCTTCGGGAAGGCCGGAGATGTGTCCCTCTCCCATGTGCTGCCTTTTTTTTTGAGGTGGTGCCCATCCCCTATATGGTTTCCTTCAAGGGACTCCCCCAGGTTGATTCCCTCATTCGCTGAGCACCAGCAATAAAATCCTTCTTGTTTTCTTGGTGGCTCCCAGCCATCCGGTTCCTTAGCCTTTTGGTAAATTTAGCCTTTGAGTGTTTAGTGGTAGTTTCCATTTAACCTAATCCACTTGTTGAGGTGTCTGTTTTGTTTGTCCACAGTGTCGTGCTCTCCCATCCAGCGGTGCACTTTTGGAGCTGTCCAAAGTGTGCGGGGGAGAGAGAGAGAGAGAGAGAGAGAGAGAGAGAGAGAGTGAGAGAGTGTGTCGGTGTCTGTCTGTGTGCCTTTGCTCTTATTTATTTGTTGTGTTTTTTTGGGGGGATGGGATTTTTGTCCATGTGTTCCATGAACCCCTCCCCCATTTAGGCATTGTTGTGCTTGTTTGTTTGTTTTTGGTTCGGGTTCGATTTGTTCCGTAAAGTTCACCTTCTCTGTGCAAGCCGTTCTTACAGTTTCAGACGCCTCTGGTGGTTTCTCAAAACCATGCTTCTCTAAAGTGGCAGCACTTTCCTTTCGGTGTTTGTTTCCTTTTAAAATACCAACCTTTTTAAGTGGCATTTATTTGTTGAGATTCCGACTCCAAGGTGAGACACAATCAACACCCGGGTAATTGGAGAGTAGTAAGGGAGAATCCCAGCCATAAATAGCTGAGGCCGCCTTCTTAATTCTTTACATGGTTCTGCGTCGACCATTTTTGTAGCAGGTTTTGATTATGACTCAGGCGGGGGCTTGTCAGCATTTTTTGTCTGTTTTACCGTTGGGAGGTTCTTCAGCCCCACCTCAGGTGGTATGCGAGTGGCGCACAGAGGACGTGACCGCGCAGGCCAAACTCCGTGTGTCTGTGTGGAGGGGACCCAACAAAATGGCTTCGGTTGTCCTCGGGCTTTCCCCTTGAAAGGTAAGAAGGGCGGTCGGAGCTTGTTTTTTGTTTTTTTCCCGAGTCTTTGAGGAGGTGGCGCTCTCGACCGCCCGGGCCTGCGACAAGGGTTGCTTTTGATTTGAGGGCGGGTGTAAGAGGACCCTCCCTGCGGCTGCCTACGGCCCATGAGGGGGGGTGGGAGTATCCGCTTTGGACTGGCCGATCCTCTTAAGTTTTCGCCCATCTTGGGAAGTGAGAAGCTCACGAACCTGACAAGCTTGTGACCAAACATAAAGCCCCGGAAGGACGTGCTGGTGCTCCGCAGGGAATGAGGGAATGACCCCTATAAATTCCATCCCCTATGGTTTCCTTTAAGGGACTCCCCCAGGTTTATTGCCTCATTCGCTGCCTATGGCGCCAGCAAGAAGGTCTTTGGCGCATTTTGCTTGGATGTTAGGACTTTAACTTTTTGGCAATGAATGGGTTTTCCATTAAACCACGAAAAGTTAAACTTTTAGCAGGGGAGCAGAAAGCAACCGAGAAATTGTTTCCGGTTGTTTGCGTTAACCACCAAAAAGGGGTCCGTTGCGCGAGGCTGCAACGCATTACGTGGCGGGCAGCGGCACGCTGGAGCCGAGCGCTGAGCCGGATTGGGGGGAGGGGGTTGTGGCGGGGAAGATTTGATTTTGTGCGCCGCTTTTTCTCAAGCTTTCCGGGGTGGGTTCGGAGGGCACCCCATAAAGGGGTGGTTTTTAGGACAAGGTGTTTTTTGTTTGGGGGTCAAACAGAAGCCGCCCAAATCTTGGTGGCTGCACAGGCAAATGAGCAGTCCATGCTGTTTGCGGCAGGGAAGGGGAAGGGGCACTCACCAAAAAAATCCATGTTGGGTCGGGCACAAAGTGAGGGTGTCATTTGGGGTTAGCCCCCAAATGCGACTTGATCAGGACCCTTCTCGGGGGCTTAGGGAGAGCTATTTGGGGACGTCGATCCCCAACCTGCTTGGGACCAAACGATGAATGGAGTTGTCAAACGAACACAGGTTTGGGGTTGGAAAAGGGATGCAAGTTGGCTGCGCGTAGCAACCAGAAAGATTCTCAGTGACTCAGAACTCAAGCCCATTTTTTTCCCTTTGGTGATTTTCACCATCACCGTTTGGCCAATTTGATATAGTCCCTCTTGCGGTAATGTTCAACGGGGATATTTACACAGGGATCATAGGGAAACCACCAAAGCCAGCATTGGCCGTTCTAAAAGCGGGTTCAACTACCGGCTTGACCATAGTAAGTCTTGCACAAACCTTTATAAGCCTTTTAGAACCAGAAGTCAAGGGTTTTTCAGTCGCTGGCCAAGTTGTTTTCCCTACATAGCTAATTACAAGGAACCCCCCTTAAAGTGGTTGGTCTGAATCCCCATCGAATTCGGATGAAACCTCTGCAAGAACCAAGGGTTCAAATCCCACCAAACCCCAAACCTCCAAACTTCAGATTCAAGCCGATGTGTTTTAAGGTGGTTCCCCCATTCAAGGCGAACCCGCAAATTCAAGCCCAGGTTTGAGCACGGGCAAATGGCCGCCACCATCCCCCTGACCATTCTGCCCGCCGGCCGCTACGAGCCAACACCTGAGATCTGAAGCGGCCTCTATTTGGGTTTGTCTCATGAGGGACCCATCAAATGCGGTGGTTTTGTTGTTTTGGTTTCCCTTTAAACCAAACCCATTTTCGGGTGCCCTCAAAAGAAAAGGACACCCGGTCAGCTCATTTACTTCCATGTGCTGAAATGAAGTTGTGAGGAATTCCCCCTCTTGCTTCTATCAATACTGGAAAGATGTTCTCATTCTTTTCCAATGGCGAACATGGAGTTTCTCAACACTGGTGGACCCCTTTTGGTTCACTTTGAAAGGGAAACCAAAAGACAAAGGTGTTGATTTGTTGACTAGACCAGCTTCTTGGGGTTTCAGACAAGAACCGATCAAGAAACCACCAATTTAGGGGGCTCCCTCATTTTGAGACCCCCAGTTGCAGCGGCCATGGTGCCCTTTAGTTAGTCGGTTAGCACTTTTTGGAACAAGAACCTTCCATTTGGTTAAGAATATGTTGTGTTTTTCCCCCTTTTAGTTTCAAAGGGAATCTATCACTACTGGAAATATGCTTTTATTTTTTTCCAGGGGACTTGAGCAAATGGAGGGAACCCAACCTGACTTTGGGGAGCGCTGAGTGAGGAAACTTGGGTGAATGGAAGATAATGGAAGCTTCCTCCGGGTCAGCAACAGAAGGTTTGTGCGGAAGACCACCCCCAAACTTTGACGCGAAAGCGACCGGGTCCCGGAGAATCCGTCAGAAGTGTTACAGGTTTGCACTGGAGGGTGCCAATCTCTTGACCCTAGGTCTCAACAGGGCCGCATCGAATTGTCAAGTACCCGTGCAGGTATTGCTTCTGGTATTCCTATATGAGGGTGTGGGTGAGTCTTAAAACCGGGGCACCCCCAAAATGTGTGAGGCTTCTTGATGTCCCGAGCTGCAGAATCTGGGGCAGAGTTGCAGAAACTGCGCCAGGGGTCTCGAAGGCGGTCTCGAAAGCCTCCGGCCCAAGGCTGTCGAGCACTGTGCGGCTGGTGTTGTCGAACATCACTGGGGGCAAGTTCAACCCTGCCTCGCCAGGCAGGGGCAGCAGCATCTGGTTGAGCTCACTGGCCCAGGTTTTTGCAGGGTTCTTTCTTTCCAGAGCGCCAAGAAAGCCGGGACATGGTTTTAGTGTTTTCCAGCAAAGCCAACAACAACTCGTCATTCAGAACTGGTTTTGAGAAGATCCATGATTGAAAATAATGGGGGATCAATCCCAAGAGCAAATGCTGATGTCCTTATTTCCTACTTTCCCATCAGCAAAACATCCTCAATCTCTGATTGTGTTACATGGGTTGATGCAATCCTTGATCCCCTCTTCCCCTCAGGGTAGGGAAGAACACTGCATAGGGCCATGGCTTCATCAGTCGCCCAGTAGCAGCCTTTTTGTTGTCCTTTGTAAGGTGGGAATCGCTTTGCAATAACCTCCCACCATCAGCCAAAGTGCACGGCCTCTTTGCGAGGAAGCCAGCTTTCCGAAAGAAGCAACTGTCTTAGCAAGAAGCATGGAGGATCCATGTTGTATTTAGGCATATTCGGGTACAAGAGGTTCTAAATGCCCCTCTAGACACAAAACTAGGTTGCACATGGATCAAGCCACAGCTGCCAGTGCGACCCTGCCGAGAGCTCGATAGGGAATCCCAATGTATGCGCACGTAGGAGGTGTGCGACCAGGGGAGCCTCACCGGTGCAGATGAGCGGCGCCGACTCTAAACAACGGTCTCGTCCAAGGACTTACGCGGAAAATTCAGGGGACTCTGCCAAATCAGGTTTCACCTCCAGCTGGTTGTCTATCCCAATTCGGTGGAGAACTACCTAGTTAGGATCACTCAAGCTTCCACTTAGATACCCCCCACTCGATGAAAGCAAGAACCCACAAATCATCCCAAGCCCAAGCGAACAAAGGGCTTACTACGTCTCAGCACAAGAATCAGGGCGCATAAAGCCAAAAAGGGCCCGCAGGCCAAGCAAGGCCAAAATGCCAGGGGCCACAGAAGGCCAGGCCTGTCTTTTTGTCTTGCCTCTCCTCATCTCTTTTGGTTTTCGCAAGAGTTGTGGTGAAGGATTGTCAATGACAATGATGCGAAAGCCTTGACGCTGATGATGAATGGATCTCTATTTGCTGGGGCCTTTCTGGCCTTTGGTTTCTTGTGTTGTAGGTCCGCTCTGCCCCCCTCAGCCTTGGGGAGATCGGTGCCAGGCGGCAAGGACAGCTGCATGACCGAGGTGGTCATTGAAGCAGATCCGGCCATCCGGGCGGGGCCCTCTGAGTCGAGTGGAAATCTTCGTACCCATTTCACATGTTCCCGTTGTTTCTCAATATACAGCCATATGGGGCTAGATATCCCATGTTCCTGACTTACTCATGTTCCATTTTGCAAACATATGTTATCTTTATGTAGGATATATCATGGGAATGCCTAATTTCCCCTCTCGCTGGTTCGAGGGTCCTCTCTTGCGTCTTGGTGCAGATCCAGAAACCCACACTTCTGGCAAATTGTCCTTTTTCCCTTCAAAATCACTTGGGTGCTAAATAGCCCATAAGTGTTTAATTTGCCCAAGTGGGAACTCCAAAGAGGGGATGTTTAATTCATCCAGAGCCCCGATTTAGCACCAACAAGAGGGTGCCCGTTTTTCCTATTGCGAGTTGGGTAAATCTACGTGGCTTTTTGCCCAGTCAAGGTTCTGGCCGGCGCTTTCCAAATCGAAATTAAATAGGGTCTATTTCTGTGGATGGATGAAAGCCGTTCACACCACTTGGAAACCATGGGAAACCAGAACGTTGGTTGGAATTGTTACGGAGAAGTCACAATTCCCAGGGTTTCTTAGGTGGTGCGAATGGATTTCGTCCATCCACAGAGGACCCCAGCTAACTTCTTATGTTTCAGCCCGGCAAAGGCAAGATGCTTGGTAGTTCGTACACCCTCCCGGCAGTTTGGAAACCCCGATGCGACTCTGGCCATACCATTCCTCCAGCCTTTGAACTGATCCTTTCATGTTGAAACAATCCCTTGAACCCATTCCTTTCCTCTTAAAGCATTTCTTCGACCTTTATCTTCGACCTTTAAGCCCTTCCTTTCACCTTCGAACTGTTGACCCATTCCATCGACCTTGGAACCCTTTTAGCTTCGTAGACCACTCCTTTTAGATTTGAGGAATCAGAAAAGGCTGCGCGGAGCAGAGCGGGTGGGTGCAATGATAGTGCCAGAATGCATCTGAAAAGGTCCAGAAAGCTGCGGAATGTCTGCATCGGCAGTGGTAGTATAAGGGCCAAATAATGACTAAAAGTTTACTGCCCATGACCATGAATGTGGTTTCAAAGTACCGCAAAAACCCATTCTGACATATGATCGTCACTGAATGTGGATTCAAAAGTATCCCACACCCCCGTTCTACTCATTTTTCACCTATGATGATGACTTAATCTTGGTTTTCAAGTCTCTCCACCCCTCCATTCTGATGGTCGGACGGCCAACTGGTCAAAAATGGGATACCCTATTTACACGCTGACGCGACACAGCCGGCCACCGGGCACCTTGCCCTGCCCGTTCTGTCACTTCCCTTTCCTGTAAGTCCGATTAGTAGATGTTAAGATTTTAAAATTCTAAAAACTTTGACATTCTAAGGGTCTCAGATTTGAAGACTTTCGGAATTTAAGGTTTCAATGGTTTAAGAATTAAGGTTTTAAGATTCAAAGATTTAAGGTTTTTGAAGGTTATAACAGCCAGGCCATTGCCCAGCCATTTTCCATCCAGTATCAGATTTCGAAGGCTTTCAGATTTCATTTTTGTGAGATTTTCAGATTTGGCGACTTTCGTAATTTAAGATTTTAAGATCTTAAGATGTCAAGACTTCAAAATTTCAAGATTAAGAGTTTAATGAATTTAAAATATAGCCCGGATTGAAGGAATTTTATTATATTTTACTTGTTTATGAATTTAAGATTTTCAGATTGCAATAGTTCGATATTGAAAGAATTTAAGTTTTTGAAACTTTTAAGATTCTGAGTTTTTAAGATTTTGAGAATTTAGGAATTTCATATTTTAAGATTTGAACATCTGAAGATTCAAAGACATGAGGGTTTTAAGAAGTCAAGATTCGACGACTTTAGGATGTTTATATTTTCAGGTTGTAAGATTCTAATTTCTAAGGTTGTAATCTTAAGATCTTAAGGTTTCAAGATTTCAAAAATTCAAGATTAAGAGTTTAAGGAATTTAAAATATAGCCCGGATTGAAGGAAGGTAATATTTTAATAATTTAAGATTTTCAGATTTCAATTGTTCGAGGTTTAAACAATTTAAGTTTTAAAGCTTTTTAAGATTCCGAGATTTTAAGAGTGTAAGACTTTAGGAATTTCATATTTTAAGAGTTTAAGATCTCAAGATTCTAAGACATAAGGTTTTTAAGATTTCAAGATTCGAAGACTTTAGGATGTTTTTATATTTTCAGATTTTAAGATTCTAAGTTCTAAGATTTTAAGATCTTGAGATTCTAAGATTGATTGTTAGATTTTAATTTAAGATTTTAAGAATCTAAGACTTTAGGATTTTGAGATTTCAATCCAGGCCATTTTCCATCCACTTTAAGATTTTAAGATTTTCAGGTTGCACGGTTTCGGCAAAATTGGCCCGACTTAGGGGACAACATCCCCAGCATCACCCGCATCGCCAGCATGCATAACATCATCTGCATCATCCGGGATGATGCTGGCAATGCTGGGGGTGTTGTCCAGTATTAGGCACCCCCTAAAAATACTCGTTCTTGGGCGCTGCGGGGAGATGCTATAAAACGTATGCACATGTTCTGCGCATGGTCGGCGGCATGGGGCGCGCGGCCTTATACCTGAAGGTAAGCCCTAACGGGCTTTGGCCTGCGGCCCGATCACGTCCGGTGGCCGGATTTAGCAGGCTGACGCCTGACGCCGCCGACCCCCGTAACAGCATCACACACGTTGGAGAAACTCTGGCCCTTCTCCGTCTCTCAGCAGGATTGGCGCCAAGGTCTCGCATGCTGGGGATGCGGGGGCTGCCTTTTTGGTCTTCCATCGTTGTAGAAAAAGGCAGCTTTTGCATCCCCAGCTTCACCAGCATCATCCTGCAGGTGCCCGGGGTGATGCTTTGCATGCTGGGGATGCAGGAGCTGCCTTTCTGGTCTTCGAATGTTGGGAAAAAAGGCAGCTTTTGCATCCCCCGCTTCACCAGCATCATCCTGCAGGTGCCCGGGGATGCTTTGCTTGCTGGGGATGCAGGAACTGCCTTTTTGGTCTTCGAATGTCGGGCCCCGCTTCACCGGCATCATCCTGCAGGTGTCTGGGGTGATCTGGCATGTTGGGGATGCGGAAGCTGCTTTTTGGTCTGGGACGGAGAAGAGTTTCTCTCAGCGATAACAAGGGCCGGATTTTTCTCCAACGTCTGGCTTCGTGCGGGGATGATGAGGCTGATGATGATGCTGGATGACGAGGCCGATGATGGCGCCGCTGATGATAATGATGATGAGGAGGATGACGATGATGCTGCTCAACCTGATGAATGAGGACGATGCATCATCATCATCGTCATCATCCACATGCCTCAGTAGCATCATCATCCTCAGCCTGTCACCATCATCATCATCATCATCATCATCATCATCATCATCGTCATCTTCCCGTAGTCTTCCGTCATCTTCCCATCATCTCCCGTAGTCTTTCCGTCATTTTCCCGTAGTCTTCTGTCATCTTCCCGTAGTCTTCCGTCATCTTCCCGTAGTCTTCCGTCATCTTCCCGCAGTCCCGTAGTCTTCCGTTCTCTTCCCGTAGTCTTCTGTCATCTTCCCGTCAGCTTCCCGTAGTCTTCCGTCATCTTCCCGTAGTCTTCCGTCATCTTCCTGCCGTCTTCCGTTGTCTTCCCGTAGTCTTCCATCATATTTCCGTCAATTCCCGTAGTGTTCCGTCATCTTCCCGTAGTCTTCCGGCATCTTCCCGCAGTCTTCCGTCATCTTCCCGTCAGTCATCTTCCCGTAGTCTTCTGTCAGCTTCCCGTCATCTTCCCGTAGTCTTCCGTCATCTTCCTAGTCTTTCATCATCATCATCCATCCTCACGGTTAGAGGTTAAAGTTAGAGGTTAGGGTTAGAGGTTAGGGTTAGAGGTTAGGGTTAGAGGTTAGGGCTAGAGGTTAAGGTTAGAGGTTAGAGGTTAGGGTTAAAGGTTGAGGTTAGGGTTAGAGGTTAAGGTTAGAGGTTAGGGTTAGAGTAGGGTCATCTTCCGGTAGTCTTCCGTCATCTTCCCGTCATCTTCCCGTAGTCTTCCGTCATCTTCCCGTAGTCTTCCGTCATCTTCCCGCAGTCTTCTGCCGTAGTCTTCCGTCATCTTCCCGCAGTCTTCCGTTCTCTTCCCATAGTCTTCCGTCATCTTCCCGTCAGCTTCCCGTAGTCTTCCGTCATCTTCCCGTAGTCTTCCCGCAGTCTTCCGTCATCTTCCCGTAGTCTTCCGTCATCTTCCCGTCATCTTCCCGTAGTCTTCCGTCATCTTCCCGTAGTCTTCCGTCATCTTCCCGTAGTCTTCGTCATCTTCCCGTAGTCTTCCGTCATCTTCCCGTCAGTCTTCCCGTCATCTTCCCGTATCTTCCGTCAGCCGTCATCTTCCCGTAGTCTTCCGTCATCTTCCCGTAGTCTTCATCATATCAATTCCCGTAGTGTTCCGTCATCTTCCCGTAGTCCCGTAGCATCTTCCCGCAGTCTTCCGCATCTTCCCGCAGTCATCTTCCCGTAGTCTTCCCTGTCAGTCATCTTCCCGTAGTCCCGTCATCTTCCCGTAGTCTTCCGTCATCTTCCTAGTCTTTCATCATCATCATCCATCCTCACGGTTAGAGGTTAAAGTTAGAGGTTAGGGTTAGAGGTTAGGGTTAGAGGTTAGGGTTAGAGGTTAGGGTTAGAGGTTAGGTTAGAGGTTAGAGGTTAGGGTTAGAGGTTAGGGTTAGAGGTTAAGGTTAGAGTAGGGGTCATCTTCCGGTAGTCTTCCGTCATCTTCCCGTCATCTTCCCGTAGTCTTCCGTCATCTTCCCGTAGTCTTCCGTCATCTTCCCGCAGTCTTCTGCCGTAGTCTTCCGTCATCTTCCCGCAGTCTTCCGTTCTCTTCCCATAGTCTTCCGTCATCTTCCCGTCAGCTTCCCGTAGTCTTCCGTCATCTTCCCGTAGTCTTCCGTCATCTTCCTGCAGTCTTCCGTTGTCTTCCCGTAGTCTTCCATCATCTTTCCGTCAATTCCCGTAGTGTTCCGTCATCTTCCCGCAGTCTTCCGGCATCTTCCCGCTGTCTTCCGTCATCTTCCCGTAGTCTTCCGTCATCTTCCCGTAGTCTTCCGTCGTCTCCCGCAGTCTTCCGTCATCTTCCCGAGTCTTCCGTCATCTTCCTAGTTTTTCATCATCATCATCCATCCTCACGGTTAGAGGTTAAAGTTGGAGGTTAGGGTTAGGAGGTTAGGGTTAGAGGTTAGGGTTAGAGGTTAGGGTTAGAGGTTAGGGTTAAAGGTTAGGGTTAGAGGTTAGGGTTAGAGGTTAGGGTTAGAGGTTGGGGTTAGAGGTTAGGGTTAGAGGTTAGGGTTAGAGGTTAGGGTTAGAGGTTAGGGTTAGAGGTTAGAGTTAGAGGTTAGGGTTAGAGGTTAGGGTTAGAGGTTAGGGTTAGAGGTTAGGGTTAGAGGTTTGGGTTAGAGGTTAGAGGTTAGGGTTAGAGGTTAGGCGTGTCAAAAATCCGCTGCGGGACCCCCCCTCCCCCCCTCAGACTCCCCCTAACCACCACTTAGAACACGCCTCGCCCCTTTGCAGAGACTCACTTTGCTTTTGCAAAGGGGTCGGCGGATTTGGGCCGTATGATCCCGCCCCAAAAAAATCGGTCCGAAGCCTCCCAGCCCTTCGGCCGAAACCCGGGGGTTGGCTCCATCCGACAGGAGCGGATCACTCGGATCCACAGCGCCCTGGCGGTGAACTGGGCAAAAGCGCACAGCTCGCAGCCGGGGCCGCAGAAGGGCGGCTCAGCGGGTCGTCGTGTTTGTTTTGTTCTTTAAGAATTATGAATGGTTTTGCTGTTCTGTTTTATTTTTATTTAGTTATTATATTAAGCAAACACAAAAAACAGGGTTTGAGTTTGGTTTCTTGCTTGTGTTGTTCAGTTATTTGTGTGCAGGTACTCCAACTATTCTCAGGAACTGCGAATAGGAAGTTTATTTTTACATTTGGCCCTCCATGAGTTGTGTGAACCAATTAGGATGTCGCCATAGTTCCCCAGAAATTCACGCCCCGGTCAAACAACATAGTCTGTGCAATCTGAAATTTGAAGTTGTATGCGCCTCATTCTACGCATAGAATCTATGTATATATATATATACATATATATATATATACACATCACATCATACACATCTTGCAGAAGTGGCTGTGCCACCACATAAGTCAACATGCTCCAAGTTTACTATATTATCATGACTGATATTAGATTTAGATACACCACCCACTTTCCCAATCCTAAATCTGGACAAGTACTGGTGCCCTCACAAGGGAGCTTGGTGATCTCATGTAGGGAGCACCTGATCTTGCTTGTGGAGTAGTCATTGAAGAATTTGTTTATTGGGTGCTTTGGACTGTGGGGGTTATAGTCGTTGTTTTAAGGGCATCTGCCAGACTTATCCCTTGTACAAAAGGTATGGAACCTCCACACGACCAACCAAGGCTGAATATGCTTTGAATTATTCTGCTGTGTACTTCGCCCCAGGTATATGAGCACAACATATCCTGCGGGCCCGTTTGTCAGCTGTGATAGCCCAGTTTGGCACCTTGCACATTCCCATGTGGAACCCCAACCACCTTCCAGAAGCACCTCCTCGTGTCTCCCCGCCGCTTTCGCGGGGGGTCCTTCCGCTTACTCTGATGTCTTCCCTGGGAAGCATCGTTCACGCCGGTAAATCCGTTGATGTTGAACCTGTAGGAACTGAGCTAATTTTCGGAGTTGACCACCTGTTCCACCGATGGCTTTCCCTGCAAGAATGTGAAGAGGTTCTTCATTGCGGGCATTGCCTTTGTCCCTTTACCAGGCACCCAAGCTTCGGCCACGAATGGGTCGAGTGGGGGAGCAAGCCTGCAAAGGGGAGGAGCTCCTTGCGATCGGGCCTGGCTCAAGGGGGTCATGTTGGGGCGAACACGTTTCACGCATATCTCTCTTGGTAACGGCTTTCATTTCCTTCCAACTTGGGACGCGAAGAAGTCCCAAAGGCGTCCCAAAGAGGTCCAGACCAGAAGAGGTGTGGCATGGCAAGGTCCAACTGGAGGGCCTGGAAAGAGCAGATCAAGGACGCCATCAAGCTCCGCGTGCGGGGCCTTGAAGGGCTCCCAGGTTTTTCTTTTGGGCGAAGCGGATCAAAGAACCAAAAACCGCCCACGGAAACCCGAAAAGCAGGGGTGCTTCAAGGTCATTCCTTCAAGGTCATTCCCTATTCGGATGCTGGGTTTATTTGGAGTCATTCCCTCATTCCCTGCTGAGGACCTCCCCAAAACTTGCTGGTGATCAGTAGGGAATGACCATGACCTTCCGGGTGTTGGGAATGAACCGGTTTTGGGGATTCCCTTGAAGGACACCAACATCCAGGTAGAACGTCAGCAAGACACAGCCATGTAAAGTTGCGGATATCCGTGTCCACTTCTTTAGTTCTGGGTACGCGATCCATTTTATTCCTACTGCCATGGCAACGTGGGGTCGGGGATCCCAGGCCTCGGAGGTGGAGGTGATGTGGGAGCCCTCCTTTTCCTTCCGTCCGTCCTCCAAACTTCGTGAGTCATAGGGCCAGTTTGGCTCACTTCAGAGGGTCCCTTGGTACCTAGGGAGGTACTTAATTAGACCCCTTTTTACCCCCTAAAAGCCTTTTTCATGAGGTACTTGGACCCTCTGAAAACACTTCCCGATGTGTGCCTTGGGCCTTGCGGCAAGCCGTGGGGACCCGGACCTCTCTGGCCCAGCGCCTATGGGTGTTCCTTCCCACAGTGGCCCCATGTGCCCTCGCTTAGGAACGGACTACGTGTGTTTAGTCAGCGGCTTTGGTGGCTGGTCACACACCACTCGCTTCCTATCCCAAGAGGGCCTTCCCGTTCACGTGTGCACCTCACTCGATTCTTGTGAGCACGCTGCCTTCACTTGCAGTGTTTCGCACCACTCCAGGTTTTGCATGGCTCCTGCGAGCGCATTTCTGGACTGCCCGCATGCCACTAGAAACCAAAAGGAAGCCAACCATGTTTGGAGTTCCCTTATTTGAGCACATGCCAAATATGGAACCCTCTTTTGAGTGATTTGAAACAGAACCCAAAAGGAAACCAGCCATTTTGGGGGAAAGGAAACCAGCCAGTTTGGGGGTCCACAACCTTTTTTTTAGGGGCCATCCCATATCTCTCAGCGCCATTTGGCCTCGCACCCAAGCGCGCTGCGCTTAGGATGACGAGGATGATGAGGAGCCGAGGAGCCTGACCTCTGCGCCGTTGCTCGGATCTCTTCTGGTTTCTTGTTACATGTTAGTGTTCACCGGACCCAGAATCAATGGTGTGTGTGTAACCTAGGTTTGAGTCACCTTGGAAGACTGCGCTTCCATGGGTTGGTGCACTGCTGCCCCTTTTCAATACGGCATGTTGTTTTCCAGAAGGGCGGAGAAGTTGCACTGTGTGCAGCGAAATGGATTCAACCAGCATGAAACCTAGTTTTCACATAGGTCCCTGTCTAGAAATAGTTTCTGGCCCATACTTTGTTCTCCTAGTTTCCACGTACATGTGCATTTTTCGTCCGGGGCTATCTTGGTGCAAGCAACCGCGATTACCGATTGCAGTTTCTTCCCGAGCGATGGGCATTCCCAAAGGCCAGCATCCGACCCATTGAGCAAGGCCATTTGTGCACAAGTCTACTTTAAGCTGGGTGGTTGCCCTGAACTGCCAAAGGCACATCAACGAGGTCGCTGCAAATCACACTGCAAATCATGAAGTGGTGTTCTCCGCCATCCCCACTGGATACAACTAGCTGGCAAACGATTCAAAGGTGGTGTCCTTTCTCCCCATAGCCCGAAGGGAGGTTCGTTTCATGCGATCACTCGACTGGGGCGTGCTACTCGCCTTTGAAGTAGATATCTTCTTACAAGGAGCCAGGAAGTGTCCTTGACGCCATACTATGGATGTGTTTTTCTTTTCTTTTTTCTGAGGGTACCCGTTTTGGGTTGGTTTTAAAAGGAAAACATTTTGGTGGCACACCCACACATGAGTATGTCCTCATGTGTCCTCTAAGGGGCAATATCGTTCGCCCCTAAAGGAACTTGAGACAAAGGCATGGTTAACTTGTTGGGTGTTCAATGGACAGGGGTGCCCTTTGCGAGTCGCGAGACTGTGGCAAGAAGGACTTGACCTTCAAGATGCTCTCTAATTATTTCTTTTGGCTTCCTCCCCGTTCCCGCGCGCACCGCAAATGAAAGCTAACCTGGGGACCAATACGTTGTGTGGTTTCATCTGGGGTCTCCAAAAATGAAATGCATTTTAGGGTAGACGAAATATGGGTATGGGTCAAAATCAACCCACCAGGGGACCCCAGGTTTTGGTCCATGTTTCCACTTACTAGGTTTCCATTTGGGGTACCTTCTTTTGACCCACAGTCACCAAGTTACCCGTGGCCATGGGAACAATGGGCACGGAGATACAAGGGAAACCCGCCTCAAAAAAAAATATGGCCTGCCATGGGAATAATAGGCACTCCATAGGCACAGGCATATGGAACAGAGTCAGAAGCTACGCTTTTGTTGCCAAGCGATAGGACGGGCGTGCTGAGCTATGTGTCCCTGGCGAGCACGGCCGCCCTTCAGCCGGCACTTATTGCATGCTTCGCCTATGTGGGTCTGTCTTTTTTGGGGGGTACCCCCTTTGCTCTGTTGCCCCCTGCACCCCCAACACGGAAACAACATACATAGAAACTGCAAATTCTGCTTGTGAACTCTCTGTTTGCCGTTGAAGCCCGCTGACATTTGATTGAACGCAAAAAGATTTCTGTCCACCTTAAATGCGGTTGACCAGCTGTCAATCCTTTTCAAACCCTCTTAATGGTCGGGGGGCGGAAGCAACCAAGTTCCAACCTCCCACATGATCATCCAAATCAACAGAAGCAATATAGAAACAGCGAACCCTTTAGTCCTGCGGCAATATCGTCCATGCAACATGCGCCTAAAGAGTCGCCCGAATATCATACCTGTGAGTTTCCATTACTATAGTGCAAACAATCTTGAGGTTGAAAGCGTCTGGGCAATTTCAATACACATTTTTAGAGTTGCCCCTCTCGTCCATGCATCATGTTTGCCAAGGTCCTCGTGGTGCCATGGAAGTTGGTCTTCTCGCGCTGCGCTTAGATTCCAATCCCAAACCCCCCCCGGCACCCCACACCGTTGAAGTGAATACTGAACCACAAGCATCAACAGCTTGTATTGGGTCCATTTGGGTCCCCTCCCACCCAAATTTTCCCTTTTGAGACCAAATTTATATCACGATTACGGGGCCTTTGCTGAAGTCTCGGGACCCAAGTTCCGGACTCGCACTAGACAGGTGTTTGGGTGTGAACATGGCAATGGCTTCCCAGATAGACCCCACTTGCTATGGGTCCCCAGCTTGCGAAGAAGACACACACTTCCATTGATTTTCCACCCTGTTTTGGCGGGGGGATCGACAAGTTGTAGCATGCAACTGTAGTTTGGATGGGAGCCACCCTGATTGGAATGTTTAAGACTTCAGAATAGTTTTCTAACAGTACGTATCGTGACAATATACAATCAATGGAGGCATACTGTCAAGCGAGACATGCACTTGACTCCTCAAAACATTTCCAGTGAAGCCAAGTTCGAGTTTGATTCACGGATTCGTGTAGGTTACGATGCACCTCACCCAGCTGCCAACCAATGGCGCACCTCAAGTTCAGACATCTACACCGTATAAGGGGCTGGCAAGATGATTCTTGGTTTGGGGCAGACTTGAGTCCTACCCAACTTGCGTGCCTCGTTCCCCTTGGAACAAAGCAGATTGCCCTTGGCTCGTTTAAGGTCCTTTTCCTGGCGACTTATTGTGCAAGTTTGGTTTGTTTTTTGTTTGTTGTTGATGCACTTGTCATTGCCATTGTGTCTTTTTTCCTGAGGCCACTCGCAGGGGCATTGCAGGTGGGACATCTTTCAAGAAACATGCATGTGCTTTGGATTTGCAGATGGAACAGAACAGATATGCAAAAGGTAGCTGTTGGATTCTGCTTTAAAGTTGAAATCATTTGTCAACTCTGTAACAAATTCCTTATTTCAGTCTAATCTAGACTGAGGTCGCTGACTGCGCTGGTAAAAAAGAGTTCAGCAATAGATGTCAATGCATATCGAAGGAAGGCGTGTGCATATATGGTCACACCTTCAGCAAGAACATAAGGGAGCAAAGCAGCAAAACTTTGTCAAATGAAGAAAACACAGTGTTTTGTTGGTTGTCCGTACGTGTCACAAGGAAAACACACAAAAAAGCAACGAACCTTTTGCTTTTTTGGGAGGGATAATGCAAAACAACCGCGGGAAAACCGAAAAAAGCAAAAACAACTCGAGAAAACCAAAGACATCTCTGTAGGACAATCGTTGGTTTCAGCCCCAAATTGTGTTTTTGCTATTCTTTAGTTTGTTTGTCTATGTTGGTTTTCGCACAGTTGTTTGTTTGTTTGGAACTGTCCAATAAACAACAAACAACTTGAGTTTGCTTTCTGTTTGGGAACATATGTGTTTGTGTGTGCCCTTTGCAAGCGCAGAACAGAAGTAACCATGTGTGTTTTTTGGGATGCCCCACACAACGGCGGTTTTGCGCACAGACTTTCATGATTGGCGCACAAACGCGGTCTCTCATTGCTCCTCTGTTTTTTTGTGTTGTTTTTAAAGAGAAAAACAAAAAAGATTCCTCGCTGAAGCCTCGTGCCGCGTTCGCGGTCTTTGGGATTTTTCACACCGCTCCTTGCCCTGGCCCTTAAAGGCCCTTGCTACGGGGCTTCCGGCATTCGCCAGGCCCAGAGCGCTCAGTGGTTTTGGAGGTAGCAGGGATGGTGAACGGGACTAGCTGCTCTCCCAAACGCAAACGCTTGGCATTGGGGCATTTCCATGGGAGCGACATGAAAAAGCCGAGGATCATTCCCCCCACCGGCTTCTGCGACGGTTGGTGCTGCTTCGTGGGCGCCCTCATGGGCATCGGCCCGGTGCCCCAAAAAAAGCGCGGGCCAGAGAGGGCCCATTCTTCTTGTTTGTATTGGTTTGTGTTTTGGTCTTAGTTTTGTTGAAGGCATGTGTTTGTTGGTTGCGTCGCTTTCTGTGGCTTTGTACTTTGTCCTTGTTTCATGCCGGGGGGAGTTACTCGCATGCTAGGAGTTGGGAAGAGAAGAGATGGGTCATGTGCACCTCAGATAGGTGGATTTCATTGGAGCGTCATCAAAAGGCGCGTCTACGCGATTAAGGCAACGGCCTAAATTGAATGTTAGACTTTCGCTCTCTCTCTCTCTCTCTCGCTCTCTCTCTCTCTCTCTCTCTCTCTCTCTCTCTCTGCCCGTTCCAAACACCAGTTCCTGTGCTATGCGAAGAATTACCCAACCGAAAACCACACTGCCCCTAGCGTACCTCGCCCCTGGGTATTAATATTTTGTGGGAAGAACATGTCAAAAGCAAACAAAAGAGTTACCAACCAGACAACTGTCTCGTTGTTTTTCGGGCTTGAAGCACGTTTGTGGGACATTGTCTATCAATACTTGCCACGGGCCAAAGGGAGGTCCCCTTCAGAGTGATAGAATTGGCACGGGTTTGGTCTACTTCGGTATAGAAAGGGCTGTCCATCAACTATGCCCGCCGTTTGTCAGAGGCGTGCTTCAGCTTGGCAGTTCGAGCTTTGCGATTCTTGCTTTTCCTCTGAGGCTGCCATGAATGCTGAGTTAGCATACTCAGGCTTGCTTCCACATCAACTTCCATTTCCAAACAATGAGGGACCCCCCGTTTTCCAACGCTCAAAGGGAAGCCAAAAGGAAGCCATCCAGTCAAGGTCGCCAATTTTTTGAAAAAACACAGGTTGGCTAAAGATGGCGAACGGTTGATTTGTTGTGGGCCTGGTCGGTCTAAGAGGGAACTGGCTGACAAATTTCAGGGACGCCATTAAACCTGCGCCCATTTGGCCGTTGGCCTTATTTCCCATCGTCCCTGATGTCAGGAGGTTGTAAGGGGGTTGTGTTTCCATCCCTTACTGCATCGGAACGACCACTTGCTTCTTGGCGGCTTTTGGATGTTTGTCAATGGTTTGGTATCCTTCTCACTACTCATGGTGAGTTGGCTTTTGGCAGGCGCGCTCACCGCAGTGGTGGGGGACGTGGCGGCCTTGCTCGGGCCGAGCTGGCCTTTTTTTTTGCCAATTTGGGTGCCCGAAAATTCATGGGATTTGTGTCAAGGATAGACGTGACACCCAAGGCCAAAGCAAGGACCAACGTTCAACCAGGGGCCCGAACCAGGGCTTCCACACACACACACACACCCTAAGCAAAAACAAAATGAGACAGCGCCTCTTAAATTGATATAGAGTATTAGGGCTGAAAGCTCAACCCACATGCACAATCACTCTTTGGAACTTTTGGGCAAACTCGACGCTAAATTCTGGCAGACGTTTATCAGTCAGAAACCAGGGTCTTGTTCATTTTTCAAAGTTCCCTTCTGTTGTTGACCCCGCCCATGTTTCATCTGGCCGGCTTGGGTTTCTCCGAGTCTCTCACTTCGTCGCCTTGGGCCCAAGAGGCGCCTCGTCACGTGCCAAGCGGCGCGCGCCAGGTGCGTCATGGAGATCGGCAGCGCCATCACGGCCATCACGCTGGTGGCTTTGGGCACCTCCTTGCCCGACACCTTCGCCTCGCGCCAGGCGGCGGTGCAGGAGACGCGGAGAGACACGGCGCAGGGAATGACCGCCGGGGGGTGGGAATGAACCGTTTTGGGATTCCCTCAATAAGGAACCACCAGTTGGATGGTTTATGGGGCTCATTCCCTCATTCCCTGCTGAGATGCAGCAAGATGAGCCTCTTTCGTTGTTCGCCTTTGTTCGGCCTTTTGCTTCGCTTGCGAGTGAGCTCTGAATCAGTTTATGAGGATGAGGGACGCGAGATGGGAACCCGCCGTCCCAGCCCCCCGCCCTGACTCCCCTCATGGGGGCAACTCCCCGACCTCCCCCCCCCCCCCCCCCACCTAGGCGGCAGTTTGCGCAGCGGGACCTGGCTGAAGTAAGCAACGAGTCTGGATTATTCTAGCCAACACAGGGAAATGAGTACCTTGCTCCTCCCTCTCAATCATATGAAGTCACCCTGTGAAGACTCCGGGCAAGTGGGTGCCGTCAAGTGGCGCACTTGAACCCCCCCGCCCAAAAACAAGAAGGTGTTCCAGGTACTCTCTCACAGGTGCCTTCTGTTCGTGGATGGAAAGGTATCGTCAGAAACACCTTCTTTTTTGTTTTTTTTGGGGGGATATCAAGTGCGATTGTCGAATTTGGCGAGGCACCAGAGCCAAATCTCCGCAGGACGCCACCGCTGATGCGTCTGTTGGCAATGTCACAGGCACAGCCCCCGAAACGGAAAGGGCGGAGGTCGAAAGTAGAGAGAATTGACTCAAGGCACAAAGGTGCTGTGGTTGGACGAAATCCGAGACCGCACCACGAAATGAAACCTTTGTTGAAACCATAACGTTTGTTGGTATTTGCAGGGGAATCGAATCATTCCAGCGTTTGATAGAATTTGGAGGATTTCGTCCATCCACAGTATCTCACTCCCTGAGTTCCTGGATATTTGTTTTTTTTTTGGGGGGGTGGTTGCTGTTTTAAAGCCAAATCAAAGTTCCAGGACTTTTTGGGTTGGGCAACAGACTTGTTGTTTCGCGACTTAGGATGAGAGTAGATTCTGATGGGTCAAAATTAAACCAGGGGACCGCAGGTTTTAGTCCTTGGTTCCATTTACCAGGGCTCCATTTAGGGCTTACCCTATTCTTGACCCACAGCCAGATCATGGCTCTCAACGAATCGGCCTCAGGGGCCTGGAAGCTTTGGGGTGCACTTGCTCGCGGGCTACGGTTTCGGGGGTAGGGCTTGGGGTCTTGGGCTTCAGGGCGCGTCCCTTTCAACATCAGCCGCAAAACGAAGTGCCGAGTGACCAATGGAAGTTTGAGGAAGTCGAAGGGTAAGAACCAGTGTTTATGTGTTCCGCTCGGTGGTCCACAGAAGCTCCCCTGTTTGTGGAGGAATTCTAGCCACGGAGCAGGTGTAGTTTGCAGAACACACAGTGAGAACAAAGGGCCACGGGTTCATTTAGGCCGAATTCAGACATTTTGGAAACTGGAATATGTCAACACCCTTCGTAGGCCTCAAGCCAATGGGCCCATGGCCTGTGAAAAATGCGATAACTTATTTGGTTGTGTTTTTTTGGTGTGTGTGTGTGTGTGCATGTTTGTGTGTGTGTGTGTTTGTGTGTGTGTGTTTTTGTATTTTTGTGAGTTGGCTGTTTGTGTGCTCAATGGTTTGTTTGATCGGTTGCGCTTGCTTGATGGTTTGTTTTTGTTTGTGTTTGTTTGAGTGTGCGCCTGTTTGTGTGGACATGTGTTGTTTGTTCTTCATGTGTTTGTGCGTTTAGTTCTGTAGTTGTTTCTTTGTTTGTTTGTTTGTTTGTTTCTTTGCTTGTTTGTTTGTTTGTTTGTTTGTTTGTTTGTTTGTTTGGTTGTTGTTTGGTTTATTTATGCTTGTTTGATTGTTGGTTTGATTGTTTGTTTGTTTGTTTGTTTAATTGTTTCTTTGTTTGTTTGTTTGTTTGTTTGTTTGTTTGTTTGTTTGTTTGTTTGTTTGTTTGTTGATGGTTGTTTCCTTGTTTGTTTGTTCATGTTTGTTTGCCCCTTTGTTTGTTTGTTTGTTTGTTTGTTTGTTTGTTTGTTTGTTTGTTTGTGTGTTTCTTTATTTGCTTGTTTGTTTGTTTGATTGTTTATGATTGTTTATCATTGTTTCTTTGTTTCTGTATTTGTTTGTTTGCTGTTGTTTGTTTTTTGTTTGTTGATGTTTGTTTCTTTGTTTGTTTATGTTTGTCTTTGTTTGTTTGTTGGTTTGATTGCTTGATTGCTTGTTGGTTTGTTCGTTTGTGCGTGTCTGCGTGTGCGAGCCCTGCGTTGCTATGTTGCCAGGGCTGTTATAGGGATTCGTCTATCTGGATGATTGAATGGGTCTTCGATCGTCTCCGTCGAGAAGTTCGCTTTTCCTTGCGACGATGTCGAAAAGGCCGGGATTCATAGGTGTCCTTTTTGGTTGTTTTGGTAGAAAACTAGATGGCGATTCCTGGTAAACCCTGGTGGTTTAATCATCTACTTCGGGCCATCTGTTTCCCTCAAAAGGACACCTATGCCAAAAATTGGAACTCTGGTTCTTTAAGGCAAATTGGAAGCCCAAAGCTCCAAACCTCCAGGCTCCAAACACGCGCCTTCCACGGTTTGCGGTTGTTTTGGCCTTAAAAGCAGTCTATCACTGAACGCATGTTTCTCATTTTCCCAGACCTAAGCACATGGAGGCCAGTCAAAGGCAGACTAGCAAAGGGCGCCCCAAGCCAAAGCTTTCCGAGCGCAGGCAGCAACTCGGTGAACGTGTTCCTTGGCCTTGGCTTGCCCTGGAGCTTGGGGGTCGGGAGCCCGGATGGCCTTGGATCTGGGTCCACATGCCTTAACAGACCCACCAAACCAACCCACCAAATCAGAGCAAGCCAAACGAGATGGCTTTGAGGGTGGAGTCCACTGGTCTGGGCATGGACATTTTAATGGACCCTTTGGGCAATTTGGAGATTCACGTGCACCTTGGAGGCGTCACCAACTCTTCCCCATAAAGGCCCAAGAAACATATCCCCATGAAAGGTCTCTTGAGCTCTCAAACAGGTCAGGGTTTCTCGATAAAGACCGCCACGGACTCAGTAGTTGTGAGGGTGTTATTTAAATGGACCCGCGGTTGAGTGTGGGATTCATCCTGCAACAGTGGGGATGATCTTGTTTTTTTGTACCTGGCAGAAGGGCTAAACGGGGATGCGGCCACTTCGGGACAAGCCGAAGCCAAGTTTGGAGCTGTCTTTTTTGGAAGCCTGCTGGAGTTGGTACCCTTTCAGGAGTCGGCTGAAGGGAACGAAGCACAGGCGTAAAGTTGGGTTTGTGGGGCAAACAGAAGAAGAATCAAAGCCCATTTTGCGGGTTCCATATCTCAGTTGGGCATTTCGCTGTGACACCCAAGCTGGTGTTCCTTTTGGTTTTCCTCTAACACCACCAAGCGGGGCACCCTCAGGATGTCCGTCCGGGAGCAACTGGTCCAAGGGGCCGGATGCATCTACGAGACCTTGACACTCCCTTTCCCAACGCCGACCTTTGGGTAATAAAATTCCAAAGCGTGGTATGGCTGAAACCTCTTGAAACATCTACAAGAATGCCGGTAGAAAAGATAAATATTTCCTAAATTCGGAACCTTGACCAGTTTAAAGTGCACAGATCAGCTGATCCTCTGACATACTTGTTGGGGTGATTTCCCCTTTGACCTAGGCATACTGGGGATCTCTGTTTCTAATCATTTAAGATGTTAAGGCTCACTACATACGAGCCAGAATACATTGCATGATTTACATCCTCGACCAAATTCGCCTTTGCCCGGGTCTTTCGAGGCAATGTACTGGACCATTGGCGGTGCCGACAGCATGTGGCTCTCTCGATATCAGGCGGGACCCACGAGCTTCCCACGGAAACATCCATGTGGCCATGGGTCATAACCTATGCCTCCATTTTGGGGCGGATGAACACCCATGTACCACCTTTGATGTTTATCAGGGGTTTCCTGGGTTTTGACAACCACAGCCACGTGGCGTCCAATGGAAAGTGATTCCATTCACCTGAGGACAATGGCCACCCTAAGAGGACAATGGCTGGTTGCCTGGCGGACTGCCTGGGACTTTCTTGATTGGGATGGGCCCTTGTCACTCGTAACAAGGCCCAGGTCGTTCTGAATGGATCAGCCAACAGTTTCTCCCTGTGTTTGTTTGTGTGTATGTGTTTGTGTTTGTGTCCGTGACTTTTTCTGCATTTGTGTGGGTATCTGAATTGTTGGATATTGAACAGCCCCAAACCCAAAGGTCTCTTCAAACACTGTTTTTCCTTCAACAAATAACTAAACACCTTGGGTTTGGTTATCACAGTGCCAAATCCATTGGTTTCTCAAACAGACAAAACTTGAGGCCAGGCCCACGGTGTTTCCGGGGTCTGGGCCAACGAACAGACACCGCCAGGACAAGGACTTCGCCCAGCCTTGGCTGCAAGGGGCTGGCGGCTCAGGAGATCTAAAAGCGATGTGAATGTGGGTCCCCTCAAATGCTAGGTCCCCCAGTAGTGCCCTTTCTCACCCTTTTTTTGTTGGGAGGGTTCCTTTTACTAAAATAGACTACAGAACAAAAGGAGATAAAAATCAGACCTCCACTGGATGGCTTTCGTCCTTCCCCCCCCCCCCTTTTTTCCTTTTTGGGAGGGGCACGCCTGTAAAATCAAGTACCAAAAAGCAGAGTTCCCTTTGTGCCGTGACACTTGGAGGCCTGGGTCTAAATATCAACTAAAAGGGGCTCCACCATTGTGAAACTCCCATATTTGTTGTTCCACTTCTGTGATACCAGGGAATGTGTTCGTTTTGGCACCACTGCCTTGCCGCCAACTGCCTTATAGGCTTGATCAGTTCCAATCCTTCCGCAGTGACAGCTGGTGAGGAAAGGTCAAAGTAGATTCTCGGTGTTTGGCGGGGTCTCAAGCGGTTCTTTCGCCGCTGACACCATCTGATCGCCACTGTTTTTTGGGCGTCTCCGCTAGCACGGCAAGTGCGGTCGGCTTGCCTGTCGCTTCGCTCAAGGCCCTAGTCGTGGAGGCGGGAGACCTCGCCTTCAGTGTCAGCGTTGGGGCCTTGGCCGAAGGGTCTCGAAGTTTCCAATACACGGATCCCTGAAACCTTCTTTTAAACCAGTTTAAGCACCACTCTGTGGATGATTTGTTTTTCTTTCAAACCAGTTTAAGCACCACTCTGTGGATGATGTGTTTTTCTTTTAAACCCGTTTAAGCACCACTCTGTGGATGAATGATGGTTCTTTCAAGCCAGTTTAAGCACCACTCTGTGGATGAGTTGTGTTCTTTTAAACCAGTTTAAGCACCACTCTGTGGATGAACTATGTTTCTTTTAAACCAGTTTAAGCACCACTCTGTGGATGATTTGTTTTTCTTTTAAACCAGTTTAAGCACCACTCTGTGAATGAGTTGTTTTTCTGTTAAACCAGTTTAAGCACCACTCTGTGAATGAGTTGTTTTTCTTTTAAACCAGTTTAAGCACCACTCTGTGGATGATTGTTTTTTCTTTTAAACCAGTTTAAGCACCACTCTGTGGATGAATGATGTTTCTTTTAAACCAGTTTAAGCACCACTCTGTGAAAATATTGTTTTTTTCTTTTAAACCAATTTCAGCACCACTCTGTGGATGATTTGTTTTTCTTTTAAACCAGTTCAAGCACCACTGTGTGGATGAGTTTGTTTCTTTTAAGCCCGTTTAAGCACCACTCTGTGGATGATTTGTTTTTCTTTTAAACCAGTTTAAGCACCACTCTGTGGATGAATTGTTTTTCTTTTAAACCAGCTTAAGCACCACTCTGTGAATGAGTTGTTTTTCTTTTAAACCAGTTTAAGCACCACTCTGTGGATGATTTGCTTTTCTTTTAAACCAGTTTAAGCATCACTCTGCAGATGAATTATGTTTCTTTTAAACCAGTTTAGGCATCACTCTGTGGATGTTTTGTTTTTCTTTTAGACCAGTTTAAGCATCACTCTGTGGATGAATTGTGTTTCTTTTAAACCAGTTTAAGCACCACTCTGTGGATGAATGATGTTTCTTTCAAGCCAGTTTAAGCGCCACTCTGTGGATGAATTGTTTTCTTTTAAACCAGTTTAAGGACCACTCTGTGGATGAACTATGTTTCTTTTAAACCAGTTTAAGCACCACTCTGTGGATGATTTGATTTTCTTTAAACCAGTTTCAGCACCACCTGTGGATGATTTGTTTTTCTTTTAAAACCAGTTTAAGCACCACTCTGTGGATGATGTGTTTTTCTTTTAAACCAGTTTAAGCACCACTCTGTGGATGAATGATGTTTCTTTCAAGCCAGTTTAAGCACCACTCTGTGGATGAGTTGTGTTCTTTTAAACCAGTTTAAGCACCACTCTGTGGATGAACTATGTTTCTTTTAAACCAGTTTAAGCACCACTCTGTGGATGAGTTGTTTTTCTTTTAAACTAGTTTAAGCACCACTCTGTTGATGATTTGTTTTTCTTTGAAACCAGTTTAAGCACCACTCTGTGAATGAGTTGTTTTTCTTTTAAACCAGTTTAAGCACCACTCTGTGAATGAGTTGTTTTTCTTTTAAACCAGTTTAAGCACCACTCTGTGGATGATTGGTTTTTCTTGTAAACCAGTTTAAGCACCACTCTGTGGATGAATGATGTTTCTTTTAAGCCAGTTTAAGCACCACTCTGTGGATAATTTGTTTTCTTTTAAACCAGTTTCAGCACCACTCTGTGAATGAGTTGTTTTTCTTTTAAACCAGTTTAAGCACCACTCTGTGAATGAGTTGTTTTTGTTTCAAACCAGTTTAAGCACCACTCTGTGGATGATTTATTTTTCTTTTAAACCAGTTTAAGCACCACTCTGTGGATGATTTGGTTTTCTTTTAATCCAGTTTAAGCACCACTCTGTGGAGGATTTGTTTTTCTTTTAAACCCGTTTAAGCACCACTCTGTGGATGAATTGTTTTTTCTTTTACACCAGTTTAAGCACCACTCTGCGGATGAATTGTTTTTCTTTCAACCCAGATTAAACATCACTCTGTGGATGAACTATGTTTCTTTTAAACCAGTGCAAGCACCACTCTGTGGATGATTTGTTTTTCTTTTAAACCAGTTTAAGGACCACTCTGTGGATGAACTATGTTTCTTTTAGCCCAGTTTATGCACCACTCTGTGGATGATTTGTTTTTTAAACCAGTTTAAGCACCACTCTGTGGATGAATTATGTCTCGTTTAAACAAATTTAAGCACAACTCTGTACATGAGTTGTTTGTTTACACCAGTGTAAGCACCACTCTGTGGATGATTTGTTTTTGTTTATACACCATTTTAAGCACCACTCCGTGGATGATTTGTTTTTCTTTTAAACCAGCTTAAGCATCACTCCTTGGATGAGTTATGTTTCTTTTAAACCAGTTTAAGCACCACTCTGTGGATGATTTGCTTTTCTTTTAAACCAGTTTAAGCATCACTCTGCAGATGAATTATGTTTCTTTTAAACCAGTTTAGGCATCACTCTGTGGATGTTTTGTTTTTCTTTTAGACCAGTTTAAGCATCACTCTGTGGATGAATTGTGTTTCTTTTAAACCAGTTTAAGCACCACTCTGTGGATGAATGATGTTTCTTTCAAGCCAGTTTAAGCGCCACTCTGTGGATGAATTGTTTTCTTTTAAACCAGTTTAAGGACCACTCTGTGGATGAACTATGTTTCTTTTAAACCAGTTTAAGCACCACTCTGTGGATGATTTGTTTTTCTTTTAAACCAGTTTAAGCACCACTCTGTGGATGAATGATGTTTCTTTTAAACCAGCTAACACATCACACTGTGGATTAATTATGGGTGAGGTTCCTCTTGGTGACGTATTGCAGGTGGGCTCTGAATCAGTTGCCAGACTGTGCAAGGGAAAGGGCCCGGCCTCTAAACTGCAGCGCCCCAAGCTGGGCGGGAAAAAATGGGGAACCAAGAAAGATAACCACATGAGTTGCTGACAAAATGATTGGTCGCCTCCCACGAAAACCTCGAGGGCGTCTCTTTTGCCCATGTCAACTTTTGGGGAAGCCAGTCATATGTCCGAGGCTCTATGGACACAGGCTTAAACCCCGCGGTTGTTCAACGCGACGCCAGGCAACAGTCTTACAGTGTGTCTCAGAATGGGGGAGCCCGACAATTGCCGATTTGTTCTTTGTTTTCCCGGTGGTTTTGGGGTGTGCAGACTTGCGCTTGGTGTTCGGATTTGCCTCAATGTAAATTTGGTTCCCAAGATTGCCGGACGAAGGGCTTACTTAGACTGTTGTGACCCCTGAACGAGGGCTTACAACCATGATGGTTTCTAGCATGGTGACCAAACACTTATCTAAGTCCCAGACCATCTAAGCACCTTTTAAGGTTTTACTTTGTCGGTTTTTCTTTGTTGCCCCTTTTCACAAAGTACGCTTGATTGCAGGGGGTCTGGGCCCCGCCCAGAAGGACATCCCCAAAGACTGGGGTCCCCGATGCTATTTCATATAAGGTTGAATAAAACCCCTTGGGTTCAACTCCCGTTGATGAATGGCAAGGGCCCAAGGTCGATGATGAACCTCAGGCAAGCAATGGCCATGTAAACCCAACCATTGGTTTACTGGTAGATGAATCAGAAGATGTCATGTTTGAAACTAAGGTTGGGCCAATGGATTGGTTTTGGTGTTCTTTTGTCGATGTAGATTTTGAACGAGGCGAGGAAGATCAGAGAGGTACGGATCCGTGCCATTGTAACGTCCCGACATGTACAAGCACACCAACGTGCAAAGGCAAATAAGCACAAACCAAGGCAAGCCAAGCCAAGAAAACAATCACAAAACACGTAAATAAACAAATAAATAAATAAATGGACAAACAAACAAACAAACAAACAAACAAACAAACAAACAAACAAACAAACAAACAAACAAACAAACAAACAAACCAACACACAACCAAACAAACAAACAAGCAGACAGACAAACCCAACCAAACAGACAAACTGGCAAACAGACAAACAGACAAACAGACAAACAGACAAACAGACAAGCAGACAAGCAGACAAGCAGAAGAAAGCAATACAAACAAGCAAGCAAGCCAGCAAGCAAGCGAGCAAGCAAGCAAGCAAACATAAACACAAGCTCAAACACAAACACAGACAGAGAGAGAGAGAGAGAGCGCGAGAAAAACACAAAGCAAACACAAACATAAACATACACCCGCACCCACAAACACGGGGCAGGGAAGCTCTCGGACGTCGGGTGTCATTTTGGAGGAAAGCTGAAGCCATGTTTGGGGATTAAGATATCTAAGGTTGAATCATTTGATTGGGTTCTAGTGTTTAGATGTTGGGACTTTAACTTTTTGCCAACTCATGGGTTTTCCATATTACACCACTAGAAGTCATTCGCTTTTAGCAGGGCTTCGCAGAAAGCGACCCTCGATGCCATCCCGTTTGGCTCGAAGGTCTTCAGCTGTTGCGCGACCGCCTGCGTGATTCTGCTGGCCATCCGCCGACAGGATCGGATCGCCGAGGGGCGGGGGTCCAAAAGGCACAATTCGGTCTGTGCCGAATTGTCCCAAAGGACCGAATTGTTGGAAACAAATGGGTGTTTCATTCTTCAAAAGTTTAGCCGGCTCGTGTTTGAGGCTGTTCAGGTTTCAAAGAGGTTGCAATTGGGAGCTTCCATGCGTCAAGTTCAAAATAGAAATCACACCGTCGCCTTGCAGATCTAGTCTAGATGGTTTAGGGAACCGGCGAAAGTTCAATGTCAAGGGGCATCCAACAGTCCGAACCTTCATTTTCCCTATCGCAACAATTTCGTAGCGCCATGAGCAAGTTTCCTAAGGGTCATAGGGGTCGCTGCAATGCAGACCTGAGCCTTGCAATGGAGAACTTGGACCACATGGCAATCAATCGCCACACTTTGGCCTGTTTGACGTCGTTTTGGCTTTCCATCATGTTCCCTTAATTGTCGAAGATCGTAACTTTTTGCAAGGGCTCTTTTTTGGTCCAATTTTGAACATTGGGTCGCGCAACGTTCCCAATTCCCCAACCCATTGGCCCTACTTTTTCACCCACGAATCGACCAGTCTGGCCTCATTTGGTTTTCCCATGTGCGACCTGGTTTTAGTAAAGGTGCCAAAAGGGTCAACTCACTCCCTGAGTTCCTGGACTTTATGCCTGTTGGGAGGGCCGCGTGTTAGTGGTAAACAAAGAGCTGAGACCTGTTCGGACTTTTTCTGCGCAATCCACTCGATCGGAAGTGACTTAAGTTTTTTTTGTCTGGATCACTTCAGCAGAGCTTTTGGGCGCAGTTCGCTTAAACCCCGCTTGATTCAGCCCGAGTTTGACCCCCAAATGGAGTTGGAGGGACCCACTCCCTTGAGTTGGTGCCCGTTTGGATTCCAATGGCCGCGAGAGGTCATGGATGCACTTGTATAGTTTGCTCTTCTTTTTGTTCTCCTTGTGTTTGCGGCCAAATGTCCAATACTCGGGCCTCCAAAACGATGTTGTGCTTTAGGGTGTGTTTACCCTGGATGTGGGCCAGGAACACACCTGGTGTTTTTTGTGGGAGTCGGGAAGCACATGTGGTTTTCGCTGGGAGGCCTTCATTGCTTTATTTAATACTTGAATACTTGGCCAACGTTCCAATCTTCCGGCCGAGATGGTTGTTTTTGATGCGCAGTACCCTTAGGTAGGTTTACACATCGAAACCAAAACTTGGTGGCTCCCAGCCATCCCCTTAGCCTTTTAGTGTTTAGTGGTACTTTCCATTTAACCCACTAAAAAGTTTTAGCGGGGGATCTGAGGGCAGCCAAACTGGTTCAAAATATCACGGTTTTATCCGGAAATGTGCCTAAATGGGCTGAATACCCAGTGGGTGTATTCCCAGGGTGTAATACAAACACCCTCAGAAAAATGGAAGACCACCCATTTTAAAGTCAGTCACTTTTCTCGGGCAGGAAGTTGTTGTTTAAAGGAAACAGGCAAACTCAACGGAAAACTCACAGGAAAGGGAAACAGGAAAGGGAAGCTTACAGGGACACCCAAGGGAAACCCATCTTTTGGGTTCAGCTCTTTTGATTTTGAGAGTGACCGGCCCATTTCCACCCTCCCATTCGGTGTCCACTCCTTGGATCAGGCCTTTGGCGGGGAACTGGGAGGTCCGGCCACCATGGCGCAGCTTGGTAGTCCAAACTGAGACCGGAAGAGGTGGCTTGCTTCGTTGTCTTCCATTTGCTTAGGATGTTGTTTTTGTTCTCCCTGGTTGGTTTTAAAGGGAATCTAATTATGATATGTTTGCTTTGCCCTTGTTAGTTTGAAAGGGAATCTAATTATGATGTGTTTTGTTTCCCTTGTTAGTTTTGAAGGGAATCTAAGTATGATGTGTTTTGTGTTTTCCCTTGTTGGTTTTAAAGGGACTCTAATTATGATTTGTTCCCCTTGTTGGTTTTGAAGGGAATCTAATTATGATGTGTTTTCCCCTTGTTGATTTTGAAGGGAATCTATTTTTGATGTGTTTTTTTGGTTTCCCTTGTTGGTGTTAAAGAGAATCTAAGTATGATGTGCTTTTGTTTTCCCTTGTTGGTTTTGAAGGGAATCTAATTATGATGTGTTTTTCTCTGTTGATTTTGAAGGGAATCTAATTATGCTTTTTTTTTGTCCAAGGGACTTAAGCAGATGGAGGTTGTCCCGTTTGGTCCTTTTGGTTTCCTTACCAAAGGGGTACCCTCAAAAAAGACACACCCATATCCACGGGCAGTCCAAAGACCCACCGTCTTGTTTTTCCTCCTGGTTTTGTTTGGGCTTTTTGGTTGTGCTTCATTGTCCCTTTCAAGCAACAAGTTTGCCAGAAGTCTGGTCCATGGGCAGGGCCCGCGCGAGCGAAGATTTCTCAAGACTTATGGAAGGCAAAACTTGGCACCCTGCCAGAGGATCAGTACCCGCGCTGAACTCCCGGGTAGGAGTTGGCTGCCCCTTCAATGGGCCCGAAGCCCTGTCAACTTGGGGCTCGCCCCCAAAAAGAATCAGCGAACAGTTGAAAAGGAATCGGGTTTGGTGCCCTTGGATTTTTTGGCTTAGAAAACACCAACCCGCTTTGCCTTGGCTTACTCTGAAGCAAATTCCAACCCCGTTGGCGTTTTTGTTTTTTCAAGCACCAGAGTCATGTGACACGGCTGCCACCGTAGGATTTGGTTGATTCATCTATCGGGGAAACCACTATCGGTGTTTGTGGTCTTTCCTGGTAAAACAGGGCCCTTTTGAAATTAGTCAAGAGCTTTTCACTTTGTGTTCCCAACAAAATACTCCACGCTTCTTGCCGGGCAAGGAGGGGAGGGAAAAAAACAAACAATTACGCGTCTCAATTGAAATTCGATCTGGGACAAATACACGAATGTGGACTGTTGAGCGCCCGGTACTCATGATTGTGGACTAACCAAATGTGCACATCAAATACTCCGTGCTTGGTGAGTATGGTTTTGCCCAATCGGCCCAGAATAGATGCACTTAGCTGATTCTGTGGGAGTGTCCCATGTTGCCCAGGAAAGATCCTCGCCAGACATCCTTGGGTTTCACTGAAAAAGCACGCACTACATTGGTTCAACCAACGCCGCCTGCCTTGTCCCTCTGTTGCACAGCTCGTTTGCATGCTTGTTTGACGCACATACTTGGGTCCTCTCGTTGAGGCTTCAACTGCCAGCCACCCCTCCCAGGTGCCTCCCCTATTCAGGAGAAGTCGGCGAACATGAGGGGCCAAATAATTAAGACACCGAAGCCATGGGTTCCCTCGATTTTGAGACTTGCCCCTGTACGGTGGTAATTGGATCCGCAGGGTTCACTGGAAGTCGCTGAGGTATGTCAGCTCATTCTTCCTGGCCCGGACGCCAAAGGGGTGCACTCAGATGGCGGGCCGTAGGTATGTGGTTAGAGACCAGGGCTATGACCCACTTACCATCGGATTTAGCCCTGTCACGTGTCTCAAGCCAAGTTATCTGGGTCTGTTGGCCTTGAACACATATGTTGCGCTTGATTTGGTGATGCTTGCCGTGCTATCTTTGGTTTTTCTCTTTGCTTTGCCGTTCACCAGACCGACCAAACTGGTGCTCCTTAGCGGACCGGTAGAGCTTTCCCCACAGTTTCGGTCCCAAGCCGAGCGTTCCGCGGCTTCTCTCGAAGCCGTTGGCTCGGTTGGGATGGAACCAGGGCTTCAACGCCAAACCAAACGAATCCAAACCACCAATGAAGGGTTACCTGATATATACGGTGGATGGACAAAATCCTGCACCACTTTGAAACCGTGGTTGAAACCATGATTTGTTGCTATTCACGGGGGAATCACCTCCAATGAAACGTTCCCTGATCTTTGCTCCGCTTTTCTGTACGAAGTTTCATTGGGAAGAACCTGAAAGTGGATGAGTCCCCATCCAAATGAATCGAAGCTCACACCCAAATAACTCTGACCAGAGAGCCAAGCCGCAAAAGGCGTCCCATATTTGTTTTCTTCGGTGGCTTACCTGTGGTGTGTGTTTTATTCAACATAAGCCACGAACACAAAACGTCAATTCCATTGGCTGAAGGTCTGAAGTGAGAGCCAAATAGCACATTGCTAATTGATCCAGAAGAAAACAAACACAAGGGAATTGTTTTTTTTCCCCGGACCCTCTGTCGTGCCCCAGTGAAGGTAACGGGTACCCTAGCGACGAGCGAATCGGCGGCTTCCAAGCACCGGCCAGTGTAACAACTCTTAGCAGAGTTTTGGTACAAATGGCCACCGACTCGGGGGATTGTGAGACCATCCCAAACCAACCCAGAAAATCCGCTCGACATCTACAACCGCAGCCACTATATAAAGGGTATACCTATTTTTCTCTGGAGTGGTTTGGAGGTGAAAACAATCTTGGGATGAGTGGATTTCCACTGCAGACGGTATACAAATAACAGCTTCCCTTGAGTGGTTTGAAGGTGGAACCAATCTTAGGATGATTGGACTTCCACTGCAGGGAGTCAGGCTTTTCTGGGCGCCAAAGAATACTGGGCTTTTCGAAAAGCCCCGTCACAGTTTTGACCTTCCTCCGCAAATATGGGTGGCACGTCATTTTTTAAGGAATGCTACCCTTTCTTTTCATGGGAAACCAAAGGTTTGGGTTCCCCTTTGAGACAAAGCCATGGCCCCAAACCCCGACATGGTGGTTGAGTAGTGCCCGCAGTTTTCAGCTAGTGTCACGTGAGGTCCATTCCAAGGTCCCTAGAATGGATTGGGCAATTCCAACTTCGACGTTTTGGGCGGCAATCAACCCAGTTGCGTCTGGGCATGGTTTAGTCCCCAGATCCAGTTGCCCCCCACAGGTCACCCAGGACAAGCATCACGTGAAACCTTTGAAAAGAAACCGATTGTCAGTCATGGAAACTGGATCCACCATGTTTCAAGCAGCAGTCTTGTCAAGCCGGATCTGGGCAGGTGGGCCTGTGGGCGCTCTATGCGCGGGCACCTGGCCGGTTTTTCTTTGCGCTTTTTTTCGGCAAACTGGAATAGCCGCTACACAGGTTTTTGAGGGTACCCTGCCTGCTTTGGGTGGGTTTAAAGGGGGAACAACAGGAAAACCGCCAATGTAAGGGTCGCCTGTTGATGCTGAGGAGTTTCATGGGTGAGTATACTTGTCGCGAAGCTTGGGTTGAATGAATTGATTTGAACTCATGGCTATGTCACAACCTTACTTTCATGAAATATGTTTGAAGGTTTCCTGGGGATCCATTATGGTGAATTACCAGGATGTGCGAGCATATGTTTTCCAGACCCACTATTTGAGTCAGAGTCTTGCAAGTTTGCGACTCCCGGATGTTTGTAACTCACCCTGGTTTCCAAGTACCAATGTCCCAGCCCTCCCAACCCTGCCATGGTTGCTGTAAAAAGGCCGTCGATGTGCATGAACTATCCATGACATTCTCATGACTGCTCTGACTTGTCTACAACAAATGATTTCAGTGCTCAAGCTAGCCATGTCGCTGCCTTTGTTTAGTGTTGGCTGGTTGCCGAAAAATGATTTGAACTCAGACCCTCGATTCGAGCCAGTACAGCCTGTCGAAGAACTTGGAACATGCACTTTTTGACAGATTCGGTCACCATATCCAGTCTACGATCGATTTGCGATGGTGAACTCACGAAGTTTCCCACCCCCAGGGGACACGCACCTTCCCATGTCCCCCAGAACAAACCGCATATGGGTTTACCCCAGCGGTAGTCTATTGCAAGCGTTGCAAGTTGGAGGAAATGGGACCCCAATTTTCCCTTGTCCCTTTCGACAGTTTCCTTACTTGTCCGATGACATGTCACGGCGAGGTTGGATTGTCTTGTTGGTACATCCTGGTCGCAACTAGGCCAGGCATCGCAGAGGGCGGGGATCGAAGATTCGGCTCTTTTGCTCACTTCCCCAGTTTCTGGACTTCACACTTTGTGTGATGAGGTGATAAACCAAATAAGCTTTGTTGCATTTTGCTTGGATGCTAGGACTTTATCTTTTTGCCAACAAATGGGTTTTCCATTAAACCACAAAAGGTTAACCTTTTAGGAGGGCAGCAGAAAGCAACCGAGCAAAACAAGCCTGGACTTGTTCTGGCCAATCCACTCAAGGGAGTTGTTGGTTGCCTTTCGAAGGGCGCACCACGCGGGACCCAAAGGCATCGTGTGCACCCTCCGGCTTTCATCTGCTCATCTTGGGATGTCAGTGACCACACAAGGGATAAAGCATCAGCGGTGCTTGGAGGTCCCTTCAAGCTCCTGAAGTTAATCTGGCATTCATCGTGCTTAGCCCGCAGAACATGTTAAACCCTAAGAAGACAGAGACCGCTTTGAAGCTCACCTCAACATATCTACACAAGGAGAGGCCCGATCCGCCTTATGCTAAGTGGCTATGAAATTTAATGGCTACACGGCTACACCTTCAAAATGGCAGAAACCTCCCGTCTTTCTGATGTCCGACGCATACCACACGCAATACCTGGGTGCTTTGAGTCTGTGGGGCCGGCTCTGCTGGGGTGTTTCCTAAAATGTACAAAATGATCTGGGGAAATTAGAGCGAAGAGGGGGCACCACCCAATGTGACGGTTCCTTTCTTGGGGGGGTCCTATGTTCGGCAAATTATTGTAGTTCCCCCAGAAGTGATAGGTTCCCCCCCCGGCCCCCTACTCCAAATGCCCAGGGTTTGATGGGTCGTAAGAAAAATGATACATAGCAAATCATCACGCGGTTTAGACATGGCTCATGTATAATGTATATCCAATTCAGCGATCGGCAAGCATTATGTGATGGTTTCCTGTGGCCTGAGTGCTGAAGACCAAAATGCTTAGCTTACCTATGGGGAAACAAAAATAACATGGCTACTGCTTCGTTTTTCCAGACCTCTTATGTAGCAGCCAATGCTTGACAAACACGTACGTGTGCAGTAGGTAGATAGGTTGACAGACCGATCGATAGATTCGGTAGACAGATGAAAACATAGACGGATGAAGAGATAATGAATATTAGGTAGATAGATAGACCGATAGAATAATTGATGGGCAGACAGATCGAAAGATAAATAGATAGGCAGACAGACAGACAGACAGACAGACATACAGGCAAGCAGGCAGACAGACAGACAGACAGAGATTAGACAGACAGACAGACAGACAGACAGACAGACAGACAAACAGACAGACAGACAGACAGACAGACAGACAGACAGACAGATAGATTCATAGATAGAGGCGCTAGATAGATCGGTAGATAGAAATAAATAACAATGGATCATACATATATATATATATATACAGATAGACGAGCAGATAAATAGCAGGCGGAAGAGCAAGCAGAACATAACGATGCAGAAGGCGAGGAGAACCAAGAGAGAGAGAGAGAGAGAGAGAGAGAGAGAGAGAGAGAGAGAGCGAGAGAGAGAGAGAGAGAGAGAGAGAGAGAGAGAGAGAGTGAGAGAAGAGAATATAAGAGAAAACACACGAGCAAGACGAACGAAAGTGAAAGAGAAAAGAAAGAACACAAAGATGAAGAGAGAGACAAGGAAAAGGATACATAGATTGAGAATGAGAAAAATAAAGACAGCTATGATTAATTGTTTTGAAACATCCGCCCTCACTCCGACTTCGCTGACTTCGTAGTAATCATAGGCGAAACAATCTTGAACAGTACTTGCCTTTGGAATCTTGATCCATTTGCTGTAGGTGAGGAATTGAATTTGAAGCAACAGCGGGGCGGGGCGAATTCGCAGACTGGTTGGACCCATTCTGATCTGTTTTCCCTGGACCATGACTGGAGATCCCTTACAAATGGGGTGTATGGATTGGGTCGACCTCATTTGTTCCGGGGTGGTAAACCTTTCTTTTGCGTGGCCCCTTCGAAATGGTGACCTTAAGGGATTGGAACCTGAGTAACTTGAGTTGGAACCAGACAAAACTGAACCATAGCTTGTGCCCTCTTGAGGGCATCCCCAACCGTTTTCCGAAGGTATCACCTTCTGGACCTCGAAACTCCCCGTTTTTTTTTCTGCGGGCGTTCAGTTCCGCGGCGCCTGCCCGGCCGGCGACGCAGGCAGTGAGCCTAGCGGGTGAAATGTTCTTTAAAGACAAGGCAACTTGGTAGCCTGGCGAACGCGCCTTGGCCGGCTCCGGAGTGCGAAGCAATGGCAACCCGTTAAATACCTTGACTGCTATGGGGTCGATTCTTTAGACTTTAACTGTTAGGACATTTTCAGGGTTTTCCACTAAACCCACAAAAGGTTAAGCTTTTTGCAGAGGGGTCAACAGCAACCAAGATACCATTTGGCAAGTGTCCAAGCAAATCTTGGAAAGCCGAAGTGCCAAATGAACTGACCACGCCAACGTACTTACTTGAATCCCTTAAAAGCTCCCCTAGCAGAAGGGGGCAAAGATGAATCCAAGTCTTTCCAACCTGAGCTCTAACCTGGACCGGCCGGCTTGCCAACGCAATGCCTTTGTACGGAATCTCTGCATGAGCCTCAAAACAGCCTCTCGACGCTCTCTCGGACAAGTGCTTAATAATTTTCCGGAGGCTTCTGACCGAAATGTTTTCAGGCGGCGTCCCTGCTAAAATTAGCATAGCTGCCTGTCACGCTCCCGACAAAACCAAAATGGGGATGGGTCTCTGCTTAGCTTTCCAGAGCGTGGGCCGCGGCCAATTGCCAGACACAATAGGAACCCTTCGAAAATCTCCAGAATAGCCGCCCTGCCCAAAGACACTTCTTCCGGATAAATGCGATGTGGATAACGCATGCTCAGTTTCCAAATTTCTAGACTAGATACTTCGTGGGGAGACCATGTTAGTAATCAGCAATTGTCCTTGTGTTTAAAGAGTGGTTTCCTTGTTTACCTATGGAGGGCAAGTAGTCACTGGTTGAGGTTTTTGTTTGGCAAATCCAGTCAAGAAGCGAGGATAGTGCGATCGAGAGGCCCATAGCCAGCTGCGGCAAAAGTTCCGAATCTCGCTGCAGGCAAACATCCGAAAGCACCGCCCCGGCAGGTTTTTCAGTCAGGCAGAACATGAGCATCAACGTTTTTGTTTCACTGGGGTATTGTCAATTTATGTTTCCTATTGCGCGCGCGTGTGTGTGTGTGGTTTGTTTGGTTTCAACCCTGGGAAGTGGCATAGTGATGATGAAGCTCTCTACTTGCTCCCTTGTTGCAAGTTTGTTTTGGGGGTATCAAATTAACTTGTGGAGGCAGATTTACAAAGGTGTCTTTTTTCCCGGAAGCATGCAAAGCGTTCTTGTTTGTAAGAACAGCTGAAAACTTCACCTGCCAACTTTTCCAGAGGTACTCACCTGCCGACTTCTCCTGCCAACTTTTCGAGCGTTACTTCACTTGCCAGCTTCTCCTGCCAGGTGTTCGAGTGTTACTTCACATGTCAACCTCTCCTGCCAGGTTTTCGATTGTTGCTTCGCTCTCAAAAAAAACACAAGCTAGCTTTTATTTTCTCTTCTCGAGTCTCAATGGTTCTTCTTTTTCTGCGGCGGGTAGGCTGGACGGAAGCTATCGAAACGCACCCTTCTTTGAAGATCGTCCGTGTCGAAGCACTCTTGCTGTGGCGCTGGCCTCTTGAGCTCGGCGAACCCTCTGCCACGACTGGTGCCAAGAGCTTGGAGCTTCAACCTGAGGCAGCCCACGACGGCCAGCTGACTCTCTTGCAGCGCAGACTCCCAGAATGAAGAGCGGTCGCTGGGAGGTGAACTGATAGACTCGCGCCGATTACTTGCACTGCGTGTAGCGGGCGATTACTTGCGAGTTGGACACGAACGTTTGATTTTTGTCAGTGATGCGCAGTAATCGTGTTGTTCTGCTTCTTCGCGCTTAAGCAACACGATGTGTAGGAGACGGTATAGTGAGCATGGCCATTGTGCTGCAGCCATGGTGACGCAAGGCTCGCTTCTGCCACAAAAGTGCTTGCAGAGCTGGGTTGAACACTGCGTGGCGGCCATGTCTTGGAATGCGCTGAATTCCTGAGTGCGGGAGCGCAGCTACTCCTTCAAGACCACATAAATATATATATATATGTATATATACAGACATGAGTGCTCACATATAAATATATATAAGACTGGCCGCTGGAGGCGCGCCGCCACCCATGACGAGAATGCTCGTTGGCAAGCGCGCTTGGAAGCTCAACGTCTGCGTGCTCGCTCGAGGACATCCACGCGCAGCTTGGCTCGCGCGTGAGCGTAGTGGCCTGCCTTTGCGGCGACGAGAGGAACACACAAGGGGTCCGCGAGTCGCGAGTGGGGATGACCTTCAACAAGCTTGGACAGCCAAGACGCCCAGAAAGGAGTACCAGAAGCTGGAGCAGTGTGCCCAGGAGTGCTTGCCTCATTGGAAGAACGTATGCTGCCAGCTGTGGAGCTTGCTCTATGGAGTGCACAAAGAACGAGAATCAAGCGCAGTGCTGGCGCACCACGTGCGTGGCTACTCGCGTTGTTATGATGCCGCGATGAACTTGTTGGTCGAGAAGCGCTCTGGTCTCCGCCCCGGGCGCCATCGCTCTGGGCCCTGGCCACTGTGCACGCGCATCGGGCACGCTGCCGGGAAGAGCTCGACAACATGCTGAAAATGCGTCGCAGCAGCAGAAACACCGACATCGCGCAGAAGCAGCTGCTGCTGCTAGCATTGACGGTTTTTACGAGTTTGGCCTGGTCTGCCTGCAGAAGCGGGTGGACAACTCTAGCAGGTTCTACAACCAACATCTAGTTGCTGGTGTGGCTTGAGATTCTTTACGTGGTTGTTTTCGTGCCACCACATGGTCGTAAGAACTATTTCTCGATGCTTCCACCACCCGTCGTCTAGTCTCCTTTAAAGCTGGGGTTCCACTTCTTATTTCAAATTTTAGAAATGCTGTGAAACTTGCAGATTGTATACAATCATGGGTTTTTCATCCAGCAACAGTGAACAGCATACACTTGGGAAAGTTGGATACATCTCTGATCTGAAGCAACATCCCGTGATCTGAAGCAAGTGTGTGGATTCGCTAGAGGGAGCCCCGTTCGTTCATGGCATGGTTATTTCTATCAGACATAGTCATGGCAGCAAATGTGCTGCTTTGGTGGCATGCTACGGAAATGGACATACACAAACAAATGTGGCCTTGTATTTTGGCAGGTTCTTTCACTGCTTACGAGGGCGACCTTCTTGGGCTTGTCATCGCCCCCACACACAAAAAGTGGAAAACGACGCGGGCTTGAATGGACCGGCGCCGTCTCAGCCGTTGGGGGAAACCAGCTTGGAGCAAAGCCTCTCGTTCTCTTGTTTCTGGACCTTGTATTTTTGCGAAGGCCGTGCTTGTGGTAAGCAATAGGCTTAGACTATGTTTGACCAATCCATCCGGAGGTTAGGCTTATTAGGATCTGTGTTTTTTGGATGGTATCAGTTTTTGGTGGGGGTTTGGAGGAAAACCAAAAGAACACCACCATGTTGGAGGGGTGCCTTCCAAACAGACACACCCAGGAGAGGGTGAGATCGTGCAACCAACTGTGTTTCGGCACGGGGCATGCGCTTGGTCGGCAAAGGTTTTGCGCGTCCATCGATGGAAAGCTGCACGCAGCGGTTTCAACCAGAGACTCAGTTGCCCAAAGCGAATCAACCTGACTGAACCTCGTCCCGTTTAGTTGATCGGCGTTCAATTGGCCGTTTGGGTGGAGGCTTCTACTACCCTTTTTGAGTTTGTACATATCCTGGCAGACCCAAACATCAGTGTTCGGGTTCAGGTGCATGTCATTCGAATCAACCGTTGGGCAAGTGAGGGCTACGAATGCGGAATGCATGGATCTGCAACTTCCAGAGGAACGCTGCAGCGAGGGCTTCTTGAAAAGAAGCCGGTAAGAATCCGCGAGAACCTGAATGCACGCTAGATCCGCTTTCCAGAATCCCTAGTCTCAAGGGTGTGACCAATTCCAAAGGCTCCGTTTTTGCCATGGTTGGAAACAAATGGCTTGTCCAAACCAGGTGATCGAGCTTTTGATCATGGCTTGAAGCATCAGAAAGGGAACCCAGGATTGGCAACATCTTTCTGAGGAATCCTTCACTTTTCGGGGAAACACATGTTGCATTGATCCACTATGTGGGTGTGTTTTTTGTTTTAGGGTACTTGTTTTGGGTTTTTACAGGAAAATCACCATGAAGCCCAGCTTGTTGGGGGTCCCCGAAAAAGACGAGTCACCCGTGTTGGCGGATTATGGTCGACATGTTTGTTTCCTGTGTCGGAAAACCAATGTTCTACCCTGAAGACCATTGAAAAGTTGAAGGTGAGCTTGCTCTATTTGGCTAGAAACCTGAGTGAGTCCCGCCTGAATGATGTTCAGCAAAGGGTCCTCAATTATAATTTATACCCATCAGGGAAATGGCCATGGGTCAAAATCCCGTACATCCCAATCTCCACTAAAATGGACTAAAATGGGTGGTGCACCTACCCCAAAATGGTACCATTGGTTTTGACCCATCAAGGAACACAGTGGTTGCCTCTTTCGGATCAGTCCCGGCGCCCCTGGACCCCAATCCTCATTGCACGTCAGCCTTGACAAGCTGCATGCTGGTTGGAGCCGGCGCAGAAAAGGAGCCAAGCAGGTTGCAAGATGTGTTTGAACCAAATCCTGGCCTCCTTGAAATAGAAACCAAATAGACGTTGCTTGAACAATGGAGGTTGAAACATGCTCAAAGCTGGGGCTGCCCTGAAACCGACACGTTTGGGGTTGTGTGAGGAACCTTAGCTTCGCAACGCCAGTTTTATTTGAACCACTGGAGTTTCAAGAGCTAGGCCTTTGGCTCGTGCTTGGAGCAACCCAGCTATGGTAATCCTGGCTTTGTGGTTTGGATTGGGAATTCGAACTCCTGGTTCTTGAACTCTGTTGGCTAGTGGTGCCCTTGTTTCCCTTTTTTTGTGTAAAGGTTCCCCTGTAAACTCAACAAACGAAAAAAGGGTGCCCTTTTGTCCCATGGCCACTGGGTATCTTAGTGAAAGTACATGGAGGCCAGCCTCAGAGCGCCTCCGTTTGCCGGGCATGGCAGGTGTTCAGAAACATGGGCAAGCCATAGGTGA